AGCTGCAAAAACCAGCCAGGTTTGGGTCAGTGGAAGAAAATTCTGGAGCCCCAAGCAGCTCCTCTTAAAGAAATCATACAGCCTCACCTACTCAGACTCATTCCCTCTGAGCTCCAGTAACAGGGTTGTGGCTTAAGGGGCACAGTGGCATGCAGGGGGAGGCTGAGGTATGTGGCATCAAGGTGAGTGGAGGCCACTGTCCCTTTTCTGGGCCCTACCCCCACAGAGCCTGCAGACTGGAGCCTTATCTAAGATTCCATCAACCTAGCTAACACTGTTTGACCCACTTTGGGGATCGCCAGAGACTCCACCCCACCCAACTTAGGGGCTCACCTAAGCGGCTTTTCCCTGTGAATGGTCTTGGCTCATGCTTCACAACTTCCTAAATCCTCTTAAATAAGCAGCAGCTGGTCTCAGTGAGCCCCAGGCCTGGAATTAGTAGCCTAGACTCACAGCTTGGCTTCACCTGGGAATCTCCAAGAGCAGCACAAGTAGCAGCCAGCTCAGATTGCTTTATAACTCAGGCATGGGGGCCCCAGGCAAAACACAGGTTGGAGCTGACCTTGGCCTGTACCACCAAGGAAACCCCTGGGGCCAGTATACCCAATGGAGAGCTACAGACCATGCTGGAGCTCCACCACCCTGCCCCTGCATAGCTGATCCTCCACAAAGGGTGGAGGTTGGTGGTCAGTGGTCAGAGCCAGTCCTTGCAGCTGACTGGCCTGGACAAATCCCTCCCACTGATTTGCCAACAGCAACCAAGGCTCAACTATAAGAAGAGGGTGTACTCAACCAACATGAAGGGTGCACCTTGAGTACCCAGCTTGGGTGATGGGGAGGCTGTGCCACTAGACTCTACAGGACACCTACTATATGAGGCCACACTACCAAGACACAGAGTCAAAGCAGCTCTACCTAATACATAGAAACAAACACAGGGAAGTTGAGAAAATGAGGAGACAAAGAAACATGGCCCAAATGAAAGAACAGATCAAAACTCCAGAAAAAGAGCTAAATGAAGTGGAGATAAGCAATCTGTTAGATACAAAGTTCAAAATACTGGTTATAGACCTGGCTGGTGTAGCTTAGTGGATTGAGTGCCAGCCTGCAAACCAGAGGGTTGCCGCTTCGATTCTGAGTCAGGGCATATGCCTGAGTTGTGGGCCAGGTCCCCAGTAGTGGGCACGCGAGGGGCAACTGCGCATTGATGCTTCTCTCCTTGTCTTTTTCCCTCCCTCCCCCTCTGTCTAAAAAGAAATAACAAAATCTTTTTTTAAATACTGGTTATAAGAATGCTCAAGGAACTCAGTGAGGACATCAATAGCATAAAAAAGATACAGTCAGAAATGAAGGATACACTAATTGAAATAAAGAGCAATTCACAGGGAAATAATAATAGAGCAGATAAAGCCAAGAATCAAATCAATGATTTGGAACATAAGGAAGCAAAAACCAACCAATCAGAACAAGAAGAAGAAAAGAGAATAAAAAAAAACGAGGATAGAGGAAACAGCCTGTGGGACAACTTTAAGCAATCCAACATTCACTTTGTAGGGGTGCCAGAAGGAGAAGAGAAAGAGCAAGAAATGATAAATCTATTTGAAAAAATAATGAAAGAAAATTTCCCTAATTTAGTAAAGGAAATAGACATGCAAGTCCAGGAAGCAGAGAGAATCCCAAACAAGATGGATGCAAAGAGGCCCATCCCAAGACATATCATAATTAAAATGCCAAAGGTTAAAGATGAAGAAATGGGAGGGTGGGTATTGGAGAATGGGTGAGAGGTGAGGGGATGAAGAAGTACAAACAGGTACTTACAGAATAGCCATGGGGATGTAAGTACAGTGTAGGAAAGGCAGTAGCCAAAGAACTCATATGCAGGATCCATGGACATGAACAAGGGTGGGGGGATTGACTGAAGAAGTTCAGGGTGCTGGGTGGGGGGGCAAAAGGGACAACTTTAATAGCATAATCAACAAAATATAATTTACAAAAGTATAATAATAACAAAAATTAAAAAAAAAACAAAACCAGACACATAGATCAATGGAACAGAATAGAGTGTCCAGAAATAAACCCATGCTTATATGTCAATGAATCTATGACAAAAAAGGCAAGGATATACAATGGGGAAAAGATAATCTCCTTAATAAATGTTGGGAAACCAAATACACGCAAAAAAATGAAACTAGACCACTTTCTCACGCTATATACAAAAGTAAACTCAAAATGGATGAAGATTTAAATGTAATACCTGAAACCATTAAACTCCCAGAAGAAAACATGCAGTAAACTCTTTGACATTGGTCTCTCAGCAATGTTCTTTGGACATGTCTCCTTGAGCAAAGGCAACAAAACCAAAAATAAACAAATGGGACTACATAAACTAAAAAGGTTTTACACAGTGAAGGAAACTATCCATAAGATGAAAAGGCAACCTAGTGAATGGGAGACGACATTCATAAGTGATATATCAGATAAGAAGTTAATATCCAAAATATGTAAAGAACTCATAACTCAATATCAAAAAATCAAACAGTCCATTTAAAGAATGGTCAAAGAACCTGAATAGATATTTCTCCAAAGACACACCAACAGACATGTGAAAAGATGCTCAACATCACTAGTCATCAGGGAAATGCAAATCAAAACCACAATGAAATATCACCTCACACCTGTCAGAATGGCTATTACAAAAAAAGAGAGAGAAAACACAAAACAAGTGTGGAGAAAAAGAAATCCTTGTGTATTGCTGGTGGGATTGTAAACCAGTGCAGCCACTGTGGAAAACAGTGTGGAGGTTCCTAAAAAAGTTAGAAGTAGAACTACCGCATGCCCCAGCAATTCCACTCCTAGGTATTTGCACAAAGAAAACGGAAACAATAATTTGAAATAATACATGCACGCTTCACTGAAACACTGCTTACAATAACCAAGATATGGAAGCAACCTAGGTGTCTTTGAAAGGTAAATAGATAAAGATGTGATACATATCATGTACAATGGATTATTAGCCATAAAAGGGAATAAAATCTTGCCATTTGCAACATTAATGGACCTAGAGTATTATGTTAAGTGAAATAAGTTAGAGGAAGACAAGTACTGTATGATTTTACCTATTTCTGGAATCTTATAAAAAGTGGCAAACAAAGAAACAAAAGGAAATAAAAACAAACTCACAGAGAGAACAAACTAATGGTTGCCAGAGGGGAGGGGTGGGGGGATGGGCAGAAAAGAGGAAGGGAATGAGGAAGTACAAACTTCCAGTTATAAAATAAGTCACAGGGATGTAAGGCACAGCACAGGGAATGGAGTCAATAATATTGGAATTATTACGTACGGTAACAGATAATTACTAGACTTACTGTGATCACTTTGTAAGGGATATAAATGTTGAATCACTATGTTGTATACCTGAAACTAATATAATATTGTATGTCAACTATAATTTAAAAAACTAGCCACAATTTAGAAACAAAAGAATAAAGTCATATTTAGATTTTACTATCCACTAATTCTGTCTTAGAAAGTCAAGATGCAAATGAAGAGTTCCCAAGTTTTTTGGCTTCAGAATTCCCTTCACAGTGTTAAAAATACTGAGATTCAAAAGAATTTTTGTTTTATATCATTTTATCTATCAATATATAACAAACCCATTATGTTAACACAAACAACACAGTTTACTTAAAATAACTCTATTTTCTAAAACAAAAAATATAGTGAGGAAAAGTGGCCGTGTTTTACACTTCTGTGATTCTAGTATCTGGTTTAATAAAAGAAAGCTGGGGTGTCACATCTGTTTCAACATTGACCTGTTATGGTTTTTAGGTGGAAGTCTATGAAGGAAACAAAGCCAGCCCTCCACAGACAAGCAGCTACAAAAGAGAGCCCTGAAGATTCTCTGAGAAGGTCTCTGTGAACCTGCAGGGGTCCTCTGACCACACTTTGGTCTGTTGATGTAGAGGGGATGGATTGTTCTAAAGTTTCTGAGAAGACTAAAGTTTTTCATTTTTTTCCTGTTAAGGCAAAACCAAAAAAAAGTCCAGAAACATTTCGCTGAGGAACAGTCAAGAATATGTTACCACACTAAGTTAGCTGATAAAGTAAAAACCTAGTGACATTTAATTTCTCTTACTGTTTTAACACTGGAAATCTATGGCTAGGTAACAAACAGGTCATAAAATATTTTATAGTAAATCATAACAAAATATTTTTATCATACTGCTAACCCCTTAAAAAATGTGCAGTTCTGTCTTGTTCTTGCAGGACACCAAGTTCTTCCCCTTCTTCCTTTCTCTTTCACCACCCAACTGCTACTGGTCCCTCCTCCTTCCTTTTGGACTTTTCCACTCCCAGAAGATGTGTTTAGAAGACTGTCCCTTTAAATCAGTTAGCTCTTTACATAAGTCTGTCTCTAGAAATCAGGCACTTCGCATTTGTATTGTGTCCCTTTAAACTGAGTGCCTGAAAAGGACACCAATCTCTTTAAATTCAATGACAGTATCTTTCCTTTAAGAACATGCATTTTGAAATCTGTTCCTTGCAGTTTATGGTCTAATCTCCTTTTTTGTTTTAAAAATGATTTCAGAGTTTGTGTGAACTTAAACTTTTTGGTGATCATTCCAACTCGCCCAAAGGCCCCCCTACTAGTCTTCTGTCTTCCTCTAATGTTCCTCTCAGTCTGCCTTTACTTGCCTCAACATGCCTGGCCGACTAGGGGAAGGACAGGTGTGTGTGTGTGTGGGGGGGGGGGCTGGTGTTGGCTTTCTTCCTTTCACTCACAGTTATGTTTCAGGTGGGGCATTCGAGTAATATTGAAGGTATAGCTTTGACAGAATTGTTCCTGGATGCGAAGTTATTTCATGTTGTGTGGAAAGATTTTGGGGAAGTTTATTACATAGTGTCCTTGGTCTGCAGCTACCCAGAAGTCCTAAAACTACAGTTTTAATTTTAAAAGTTACCAAATTTTTAAAAATCAGATTTTATGACTGGTCTTTTACCTAAATGTTTCTTCTTGGAGCTGTTCTAATTGAGTTTGGAGCTGCAGATGCCTTCTTCCTGCTGGACTGTTAGGGTCTTCTATGGAATCAGATTGATTAAGTCTTTCCATTAATACCTGATTCTCAGCCAATAGGCTACTTTTCTCCTCTTGCAATGCTGCAACCTGTCAGAATATAGGAAGACAAGAGTTATTTCTTCCAGTTACACTGGCACTGGCATAATCACCGGTGAATTACCATTATAAATTAAAGTGTATTTTTTAAAAGTGCAATCAACCTCCACTTAAAACACTTGTGTTACTTTGGAATATTGCACAGGCAGAGTAATCTATAAGAGTAAGCAAAAATTCATTATTTTAGATCTGAAAAGACAATTAAACAAAGATATACAGATAGCAACTAAGCACACAAAAAGATAGTCGTGATTAGTCATTAGGAAATGCAAATTAAAAGTTACACCAATGTCACACCAATATAGTCCGACTACAAGGGCTAAAATTAGAAAGACTCGCTGTACCAGGTGTACAAACGAAAGCCTCATACACTTCTGGTAAGAATATACAGTGTTTTAAGTGCTTTGGGAAACAGTTTTGCATTTTCCTAAAAAAATTAATGCAATTATCACATGACCCAGCCATTCTACTCGTAGGTATTTACTTAAGAGAAATAAAACTGTATGTCTATACAAAGACTTACAAAAATGTTTACAGCAGCTTCAAGTGTAATAAAGAAAAACTAGAAACACAAATGTTCATCAAGTAAATGGATAAACTGCAGAATATCCAAACAACAGTATTTCACAATTAAAAAAGAGTTAACTATTGATACTGACAACGTAAATGAATCTCAAAATAACAAAAGAAGTCAGACAAAAAATAACAGTATACACTGTATGATTCCTTTTATATATCATTCTAGGAGATACAGGCTAATTTATAGTAGTCAAAAGCAGAGCTGGGGACTGGAGGGGGGTGATGGGTTCCTTATACTGATTGTGGTGATTTCACATGTTCATACATATGTCAATATGCATCAAAATTGTGCATTTTAAATCTGAGTAGTTTATTGTATGTCAATTATATCTCAATACAGCTGTAAAACAAAAATTACCTGCGATTTCTCCCTCTCCAGCCCACATTTCCTTCTGAACTTGTTCTAGTTGGACTTTGGGCCCTACCATTCCACCAAAACTGCTCATCAGGATCACTGCTGACTTCCAGGTCACTACCGTCCTTCAGGGACATTGGACGCAACTGATCAACTCTGTCCTCTTTGAAGTATTTTCTTCACTTGGCTTCCAGGATACCTTACTCTCCTGGTTTCTGTACCAGTTCACTAGTCTTACCTTCCCTTTCTCCTTAAGTCCGTTCCTAGTTTCCCTGCCAGGAGAGCACCCCACAGCTTTTCTAAACACAGTGACAGCTTCCAGTTTCATGGCTGTAAATGCCATCTACTCACTGACCGCGCACATTTCTATTTCTGGCCTGGAACCCTGAACTGGAGATCATTTCTACTTGGATGTCTAACAGGCGTCTCAAATTTAAATGGTCTAAGCTGAACTCTTAATTACTCCAACCCCCAACCCCAGTCCTTCCACAGTCCTTCCCATCTCAGTAAATGGTAACTCTGTCCTTCCAGTTGCTCAATCGTAAGCCTTAACATCTTTCTATCACACCATGTCCAATCTGTCAGCGAATATCATTGGCTCTACACTCAGACATATTTTGACCACTTCTCACCAGCCCTAAATTCTGATGACCTAATAAGCCAACATAATTTTTTGCCTGGATTACTGTTGTGACCACTTAATTAGTCTTCTTGATTTGGCCCTCCCTTCCCTATAGTCTGTTCTCCACGGAGCAAAACAAATGCACTCCATTAAAGCAAACTCAGATCACAGGACGGCTTTGTTCAAAATCCTCCAATGGCTTCTCATTTACTCAAAGTCTTTACAAAAGCTTACAAGGCCTCTCCAGACTGACTTCCTCCTTCCATGCTCCCTTCCACTTCTACCATCCTTGACTTTCTGCTGTTTTCTGAATACACCAGTCACACTCCCACCCCAGGGCCTGTGCTCAGCAGGTAACACTCTTCCTGGGAAGCTTGCTCCTACAACCTCTGGGATTTTACTAACATGCCACCTTCTCTGGGGCACCTGTATTGACTAAATTCAAAACTACTAATTCTTCCTACTCTGGATTTCCTGTTCTACCTCATCTGCTTTTTTTTCCCCTCTAGAATATTTATCACCATTTAAGACTATATTCTTATTTTGTTTATTGGCTGTCTTCCTCACTAGAATTGTTAACACCCTGGGGGCAAGAATATTTGACCAATTTGTCTATCTCCTGACCCTCAATCTTCATTATATCTACAGCAACAAGAATAGTGGATGGTACACAGTAGGTACTCAGTGAATGTCTATTGAAGAAATGAATTAATCTGAAACACCAGCTCTATAATTTATCAGATTTCCATAAATGCATGAGTGTCTTCTAAGAATAGAGTCATGGTTCTATTCTATGCCACTGGTCTATTTCATTCATTTCTGCTCTTTCATTCTTCTCTTTCAAATAAATATTTAAGGCATAAAAACTTAAATTTTAAAAACTCATTTCTTTGCTACTGATTTCTGACTTTAATTGCATCTTGGTCACAGAGCATGATCTAAAGACACAGATTATTTGAAATTTTATTAAGAAGTGTTTTATAACTTGTGGTCTATTTATAAGAAGGCTAGTGTACAATGTAAAACTTTAATACTAGACTTATCAGACTAGCAAGTGTTGCTAAAATATTTTAATTCAATATATTTGACAGAAATCCTTTTCACAAACACAGAAAAAGGAGATTAGTTAAAAATAATGCATAAACATGATTTAAGAAAACAAATCAAACAAGGCAAAGGGGCTTATAGTGAAAAGCTAGTTCCCTGTTGAGATTTCCCTTCACTGGTCACTTCTGCAATTTTAAACAACTACTCACTGACTCATTTCACTGAACTGCCCACCATTCATCAACTCACTCAAATACTCGTGTGCCTACGACATGTTAGGCACTGCTGCAATCTTCTAGGTGCAAGGCATGCCATGATGAATAAAGCTGAGAAAGTTCTTATTCCACAGAATGGTCATACATTCAAAACAAATCACAGTAAATAGATAAACAAAAACATATTAAGTAAACTAACAAACACATGCTAAAACTAGAGTAAAAGTGTATGCAGAGGGTTAAAATAAGAGTAACACGAGAGTCTGGGTGATTACTTCAGATTGGCTGACCATGGAAGGACTTCTCAAGGAGGCCTAATTTAGTACCTGGCACCTCTAAGAGCCCAATAAATGATTTATGACGAATAAATCAGGTGGTTTTGAGCCGAGGTTGGATGACAAGAAGGAGCCGGCCATGTAATGAGTGTGGCAAGCGCTCAACTCCGTCACTGCAGCATAAAAGTGACCACAGACAATAAATACATCAATGAAGGAGCGTGGCTGTGCTGCAGTAAAACCGGTGCATAGAAACAGACAGCAAGCTGTAGTTTGCCAATCCTAGCGTATAACTTTAATTTTATACTATGAAAGATAATATTTATATTCTGCTTGTAAAATTAACTCAATTTTTATTATAACCCTTAGCATTTATCTATAGTTAAATTCTAAAATCTGAAAAGCAATTAACAGCACTTACATCATGATTTATTAATATTTACTATATAACCCAAGTGTATGTTGATTTTACTATCTATTACGTGCATCCAAAGCAAGGACCAACTCCAAGTAAAATATTTCTAGTATAAAGTATGAATTGTGCGTACTCATTACCCATCTTTAACAAGTATCAAAACACGGCCAGTCACGTTTGAGCTAGACCTGGACACACTCTCCCCTCCTCCCTGATTCTGAGGTAATTCCAAATCATTTTATTTCTTATTTTCTTTATTTGTGAGGGATTCCTTCAACTTTAACTATTGTATTGAATTTTTATTTTGACAATTCTATTTTAAATTTACTTAAGTGTTTCTTGATTTCTAATTTTTCTTTTCTAAAACTGCATCTTGTCCTTGTTTTACAGATGAAGTATCACTAATTTTACTGATAGTATTAAATAGATTAAAAGGGAGAATCTACCTCAAATTTCTCCACTTCCTCTATGGCCAGTTTCCTGTCTATCTTGATCCCTTTACCTTTTGTTACACAGATTTCCCTCACATTTAAGAATCTGTCAACAGCAAGGGTCAATGGAAGCTATAAACACTCACAGGCTTCAGCTTAGAGCTTTATCTCCAAGAAGCTAGCCTTTATGTAAATTAGAGAACCCAGGAAAAACAAAATGAAAAGGACCTCACCCTGCAGATTAATACTCAGTCTAACCCCCCTATGCTTCTGTTTATTTCTTTAGAAAAGACTCCTCTGACTGGGAAGCTGGCTAGAGGTCATTCTCTGCAGTGGATGACAGAGTTGATGGAGTTTAGCATAAAACCTATAGTTGTAGCTATATAGTGATAAGAGTAATACTTGATTGTTGTGAGTGGGTCTACAGAGAAAAATGAACATCAGAATCAGAGCACAGGTGTCTGTGATTTTAAATGAAGGCATCACTTAGAGTGAAAAAACAAAGTTCCAGACTGAAAAGCTTTTTTAAAAAAAATTTCTTTTACATTTGTGTTTTCATTTTAATTTTTATACTTCTATAATGGCTGAGTGTTCATGTTTGTTGTGTAAGTATATTATATAGAATAGTATATAGTATATTGTGAAGGTTCTACATAAAACCTATAGTTGTAGCCCCACTCAGCCCTGGGGCTCTGCTATAGCAGCTCCCTGCCCTTCTCCCCAGGAGCTGTTCTTGGCCACTACATTCTTCACTCCTTCTAGCCATTTGGGACTTTTCCCACTGCCTCCTGGCTTTCAGAGATTGATGAAGACTGGTGGAATGCTGTTGCTAGCTATAAACCAAGTCGATGGTTAAACATTCAGGAAAGGAAATTATGTATTTGATCAGTCTACCATCTTTAACCAGAAATCTGTTTTCCCTTTTTTCTTTTCTTTAATTGGGGGGGCACGGTGGACAAACTGTGCTCTGTGGCAGTGCACAGTACGTTCTGTGTGTTTACAGCAGCACATTTCAAACAGGTGGGGCACAGAGCAGACCTCCTACCTGCATGTCCAGTTCGTGGCATCTTTGAGAAATTTCTTCCTTGGCTGACAAAGCTTCATTTAGTTCCTCTGTAGTCTTCTTCAACTAGTTAAAAACCAAGATACACAATAAATATTTCAATATGAAGTGGCAGCAATTAATAATTACATATGGAATTAAACATTGTCCCCCTTTTCTCTGTGAGGGACAGGGAGAAATCAAGAACCCTTCTGTGCAGGAGTCAAAAGAAGGCAGTTCTAACTCTGAATACCTTTCAGTTCTAAATCCTGTCTTTTCTGTACCTCGATTTGTTCTTTCCACATAACCAAGTTTTCTTAACACACCTTCTATCTGGGCTGCTTGGCTCTTGGCAATGCTGACTGTAATAGCTGACAAACTCTACCTCAGTCAAGTACGTATATGCTGGAGGACAGGGGCTTTGACTGTTAAAATATACAGCTAGTGAGTTTCAGTACAAGTTTTTTAGTCACACTAAACCTTTATGTTAATTTGTGTATCAGTTCTAAAATAAAATACTTTTATTATTATAATCCTCAGCACAAACCAAACATTCCCAAGTTGTGTCCCATTATTATATAAAGTCTAAGTTAGCAAACTATAAACAAATTAGTTAGTTATAATTAATTAATCACTTAATTTTAAAGACAAAAATGGATTAAAATAAAATGATACTAGCTTTTCATTTCATGTGACCAAACCTCTGTGTAACATAGACAGAAAAAAAAAACCAAAACTCATTCACAGTAACCAACTGTAAAACCAAACACACCACAAAGCAAGAGAAAGACAAATTACAACTTGGATTAAAATTACAGCATGTCCAAAGATTTTCCTGCAAAATATTTATAAACCATGGGGAAAAAATGAAAGGAGACAAAGATCACCAAGATTTCTTTCCATGCTTTGGAACAGATTTCCCAGAATAGCTGGAACATAGAAACTAACAATGTACCTTTCCATTAAACCCATAAAAACACATTGCAGAGTTCCTTTACAAATGTAGGACTAAGTTCCTTAGTGCATTTAAGTATGAAGGGCAGAGGAGGCACTTTAAAACTGAAGAATAATGTGAAATAAAAGGTAAATTATCTTTTTTTTGTAATCCTCACCTTAGTACATTTTTTTTCATTGCTTTTAAAGAAAGAGGAAGGGGGGAGATAGAGAGAAACATCAATCAGTTGCCTCCCATCTGCACTGCAACTGGAATCGAACCTGCAACCTGGGTATGTGCCTTGACAGAGGATCAAACCCATGACCTTTTGGTCTGCAGGACAATGCTCCAACCCACTGAATCACACCAGCCAGGGCAAGGTAAACTGTCTTTTTATCATAAATAATCAAGAGATTATTTATGCTAATGGAAAATGCATGCAATTTACCAGAGAAGCATCTATTGTGTTAAATGTGGCATATAGAAAGAAACACAAATTACAAAAAATTAAATAAGTTAACTTAAAGTACATTATGGAACAATACTTAACTTACAAATTATAAATTTAATTACAAATATGTAATATCCATAAGTAAAGTGGCTTAAGTTCTTACATTTTTGGTAAAAAATAAAGAATTATGCCAATATATTCCATAAGCAATTTCCAATGAAACATCTTTTCATTAATACTTCAATTTTATCCGTTTCAATCTTTGCATGGATAAAAACAACGCAAAATTACATACCTGGCGATCAAGGTCAGCATAAGCATCATTTCCAGCAGAGACAGGAGATTCTTTACTCATCAGCTGAAATTAAATGAAGACTTAAATGGTTATAACTATGAAGCAAAAAAGGCATTCTATATAATATACTTACACAACAAACATGAACACTCAGCCATTATAGAAGTATAAAAATTAAAATGAAAACACAAATGTAAAAGAAATTTTTTTTAAAAAAGCTTTTCAGTCTGGAACTTTGTTTTTTCACTCTAAGTGATGCCTTCATTTAAAATCACAGACACCTGTGCTCTGATTCTGATGCTCATTTTTCTCTGTAGACTCACTCACAACAATCAAGTATTACTCTTATCAGTAAAAAGGCAAGGCTTTAAGCTAAAGATGTGGCTTAATATTTAAAAACATGGATTTTTCAGTAAAAATTACACCACTAAGTATTTCTAAAGAATAAAGGTGGGCCACATCACAGTATCCAAAAGGTGGGGAAAACCCAATTATCCATCAACTGAATGAATGGATAAACAAAATGTGGTGCGTAAACTCACATTCATACAATGGAAGATTATTTGGCTATAAAAACAGAACAAAATATTGGTACATGCTACCACATAACCTTGAACACATTATGCTAAATGAAAAAAGCCAGGCACCAAAGGGCATACATCCAATGATTGAACTTAAATGAAATATCCAGAACAGGGAAATCCACAGACAGAAAGCAGATTATTGGTTGCTAGGGACTGGAAGGAAGAAGAAATGAGGACTGTCTGTTTAATGGTCACAGGGCTTCCATCTGCGGTGACAAAAAGGTTCTGAAACTAAATGGTACTCATGTTTGCATAACATTATGAAATGTACCATGTCACTAAAGGCAAATTTCATGTTACAGGTATTTTATCACAATAAAAAAGTAAACACATATAAATAGAATGTGCCTTAAATAAAAAGTCTTTTAAAAAGCTCTTCCTCAATCCCATAATTTTATCCAGCTATGCACCCACTGTCCACCTCCTAAGTCCAAACAGTCACCAAGCCTACTGACTCAGGTTCTGATAATTTTCAAATCCGTCCACTTCTCTCTACACTAACTCCACCCTAACTGCTATAACCCACTTCAAGTCCCATCATTCTTTTTTTTTATTTTTATTTTTTAAGATTTTATTCATTTACTTTTTAGAGAGAAGGGGAGGGAGATAGAGAGGTAGAGAATCATCCATGTGTGAGAGATACATTGTTCAGTCACCCCCTACTGAGGACTTGACCTGCAACCCAGGCATGTGCCCTGACTGGAAATCGAATGGGTGACCTTTGGGTTCACAGGCTAGCACTCAATCCACTGAGCCACATCAGCCAGGGTGGGATCTCATCATTCTTCACTGGATAATTACTAAGGTTTCTTAACTGCTCTTCCTTTAACTAGCCTTGTTTTTATCTGATTCATTCTTCTCATTGCACGAATTTTCTCAGCTAGAGACTTCAATCTCTTTTCTCCTTAAAATCTAGTCATTGTTTCCCAAAACTCCAACTCCTTCAACAAAACTGCTCAATATCTTAATGATCCCATGTCTCTTGTTTCATCTCATTTGTACTTTAAAATGTTTGCTACAGGCATTCTTCTTTAATACCCCCAACATGCCACATAAGTCTTGCTTTCTCTTGTCTCCTGGACTTGAGAACAATTTTTGCCCCTTCCTTACCTTATTTCATCCTCTGTGCTTAGTCTTGATGCCACTTTCTCTGAAAAGCCTTCCCTAATATCCCAAACCTAAGTTAGACACTTCCGTGAGGTGCTGCTATGTCCCCATCATGGCACTTTCCCCGTGAATGCTTTGAATGTATCTGAATTACTTGTTTAGCCATTTTCCCCATGAGACTTCCACTCCATGAGTCAAGACACCATGTTTACTTTTTCATAGTTGTATGCATACTATCTGTCACAGCTCTCTGGTACACATTAGGTGCTCAATGAGTATTTGCTACCTAAATAAAAGGACTATGCACATAGTTAACATATAACCTCTTCTTAAAATCTAATTGTACATACACATTTTATATGTTGCTTAGTTGACTTGACATTTTAAATGTTCTCCCTTTGTCATAAGACCACCCCCCCTTTTTATACATTTTTATCAGCTATATAATATTCCATGGAATTGAAGTACCATATTTTAAACACCTGCTTACCAAAGGATAGACTTTTTTTACATTTCCATTAATATAAAATAGTTTCATAAGCACTGTTGTGCCCAATCTTAGTCTTTAATCCCCAAATAATTCTTTGGAATAGAGTCACAGAACTAAAAAAAAAAAAGAACAACTTAGTCACAGATTTTAAAAATATTACTGATTATAGATATACCTATTATTATAGAAAAATTGGAAAATACAGAAAAGAGTATAGAACATTACTACTTGGCACTGGTTTAAATTTTGGCAAAATATGTTTTCACTCATCTTAATTTTAATTTTTAACAGAAATGTCATTTTGTTGCTCATGTGCTCTGTTTCCCTAAATATTACAGGCCTTCCCCTATGTCATTATATGTTTCAAAAATATGCTTTAGCCCTGGCCGGGTAGCTCAGCTGGTTAGAGTATCACCCTGATATGTTAAGGTTCCAAGTTCAATCCCCTGTTGGGGCGCACACAAAATCAGGCAATGAATGCATAAATAAGTGAAATACAAAAACTGATATCTACATAATATGCTAATATATTATTGTACCGTAATCTACCCATTCCTCTATTGCTGGGTACTTAGGTTTATTTTAATTTTTCAGAACTAAAAAATAATGCTAAAATAAACAATCTTGAGGCCATGCAATAGAGTGGGTATGGGCCTGAGCTCTGGATGCGGACTGCTTCGATGTGGATTCTGACTCTACTACTCCTACTCCTTCTTATGTGGACCTGAGCAAGCTACACACATTGCCTATGCCTCAGTTTCCTCTTTTATAAAATGGGGACATTGACAGTGCATACCTCAAAGACTTGTAGTTAATATTTTTTCATTGTGGTAAAATATATGTAACATAAAACTTGCCATTTTAACAATTTTTAAGTGTACATTTCACTAATATTAATTAAAATTGTAATGAATTTTAAATGAGTTAGTAAATGTTATGTGCTTAGGAAGTACCAGCACTATTTAGCACATTGTAAGTGCTAGATAGATGTTTGCTCTTAGTATTAGTATTATCAATCTTTGTACTTCAGATTTCTTTAGAAAAAATTCCTAAAAGTGCAATTATAGGGTCAATCACAGTAAGGCAGAACTGTTAGTGGCCCCTTATTCTTTTTTCCTGTTTTTGGTTAATAATAGAGACCTCAAATTTTGGCTGGGTCTATGACCACCCAGAATAAAGATGATGTTTCCCAGTGACCCCATATGGCTATATGAGTTGTATCTGTCTAATAGGAATGAGGATTACTGACAATTTATTTAGAGGAAGTGGATAACCCTTCCTTCAATCCTTCCTGTTGGCTGGAAATGTTCATGATAGCTGCAGTTTGAGAAGCCATAGCCCAACCACATTGTGGGACTCATATGTTAAGAACGGCAAAAGTTCCCTGGACAACAGTGTGCTGATTGCTGGGGGAAGTGGGTGAAGGGAGGTGGAGAAGGGTGTCGGGGGGGTGGGGGGTGGGGTGGGGAACAGAGACGTGATGTGGGGTGGTGAACACATAATGCAGTGTACAGATGATGTGTTGGAGAATTGTATACCTGAAACCCATATAATTTTGTCAACCAGTATCACCCCCAATAAAATCAATGAAAAGGAAAAAAAATTTCTTAAAAAAAAACAACGAACAACAACAACAACAACAATTAACTATAAGAAGGCTGGGTTTCTGATGACTACAGAGCCAACCCAGGTCCTCTTAAGAGTAAATTACAGTTACAGCTTACTTGGTTGGTCACCATTTTGATATTTTAACACTCATGACCTGTATCTTCTATAAGAGCATAACCTTTTAAAAAAATGCACCAGTACTAAATGTCAAAATGATCTTTTAAAAGCTCTGCTTTTTTACAAGGTCCTGTATAATAAAAAGTTGGTTGGTCTTCGTCGTCCCCAGGTGGCAGCAGATGGCCTCTACATCTCTAGAACTCCCCGACTGATGAAGAGTGCCTTTGTTATTCGTGGAGAGCCCCCAGGTACTACAGAGAAGAGGAGAGGACTTCGGAAAACCAACCACGCACTAGAGGATTGGGGCTGTGATCCACCACCTATTAGCCTGACCTCTGGGGAGGGAGGGGAGTGGGAGCTGAGTCCAACCTCATGGCCAATCAATCATGCCTACATAATGAAACCCGAGTAAAAACTCTGGATGTGAAAACTCAGGAGACCTTTCTTTGTTGATGGTACTCTGCATATTGTCACACATTAATGTGCTGGGTCACATGTCTTGATTTTGTGGGCAAGAGACAGCAAAGAGTTTGTATTTGAAACCCTTACTCTATGCATTGGGGGTGGGTCGGGCTAGTTCTGATTTGTATCCTTCTGCTATAATGAAACTGTCATCACTCCTGAGTTCTTAATCATTGTAATGAATTCTCAAACCTGAGGGATAGTGGGAATTCCCAGATTTATTGTCAATTAATCAGTATTTTAAAAATATTTTGTTTTAATTAGCATTTAGCATTTTTCATTGTCTGTTATATTTTTTCTGTTAATTACATATCCATGCCCTCTGTTTCCTAGTTTCCTTAAGAATTTCTTCCATTGCTTTTATGATTAAAAACACTCTCAAATCCTGAATCAACCAGTTATTAATCTATATTTTATTTTTACTTTTATAGTTTTGTTTTACATTTGCTGAAGTTCAGGACATGCTACCCCCAAATATAGCACCTTGGCATATTGTGAGAAATGGCAGGTGCAGGAAGGATTTTTCTGACTTTCCCTGAAGTAGGTCATGAGGCCCTCATGCGACAGGTGCCCTTTCTAGACTCAGAAAAGCAGCACCCTTACGTCCAAGGACAGAGCCCTGCGGAAAGGAATCTGAGTGAAATAGGACTTGCTGTTTCCCTCAGTTTACTACACTTAGCTTAAATCCTTGCCCATTACATTTTTCCATGAATCTCCACTCTTCATCAAACCTAGCATCAAAACATTCAGGTTTAAATACTTCCTTGGTCTTAATTTCCTTATAAAGACTCCTGAGTCATTTAAAACTTGTATTAAGTAAATTTGTACATTTTTCTCTTAACACAACTTTTGTTACAGAGGCTCCAGCAGAGAACTTGAAAGGGCAAAAGAAAAAGACATTTCCCCCCCTCTATAGTTTCAGTATAAATATTCATTTAGAAATTTCTTTGCCCTGGCTGTTGTGGCTCAGTTGGTTGGAGCAACGTCCTGTAAACTGAAAGGTCATGGGTTCAATTCCCAGTCAGGGCGCACCTTACCAAGGTTTCGGGTTTGTTCCCTGGTTGGGGCGTATACAAGATGACCCTCTCTCTAAAAAAAAAAAAAATCAGTAAGAATGTCCCGGAGTAAGAATTAAAAAAAAAAAAAAAGAAATTGCTTCCAGTCCAGTTGGAGTTGAAGACCCATTTTTTACCAAATAAGAAACCAATAGTTAAGTCTGAAGTAGACTGTTGGTTTAAGATAGAAATTGTTTATATTGGCTTTAGGAATTAGTCTATAATTACTAATTCATTAGGGCATTTTTAAAAATCAGGAATAGTTATTGAATATCTATACCTGCAAGATAAATGTTTAAGATTTAAATAAAAATAAGAAATTTAGATGAGTATGATTTTCTTAATAAAAATGAGACAAGCTATATCATAAGTTTAAAGAAAATTTTCTGGTAAATGAGGAGAATCTTTATAAAAATTTCTACTTCTGTTTATTTAATTTTTTAGGACTTTTAAGGTAGTCTGTTTTATTATTTTTTTAAAACTTTTGAAAGGTTTTATTTATTTTTAGAGAGAGGGGGAGGGAAGGAGAAAATGGGGAGAGAAACATAAATGTGTGGTTGCCTCTTGCACGCCCCTACTGGGGGCCTGGCCCACAACCCAGGCATGTGCCCTGCCGGGAGATCAAACTGGCAATGTGTCAGTTTGCAGGTCAATTGGCGACGTGTCAGTTTACACTCAATCCAGTGAGCCACACCAGCCGTGACTCTACTTCTATTTAAAATCATGTTTGCTTCTGTAATGTCTCACAAACTGTAAGCACAAACCTCCAACGTACCTCTTGAATGGCTGTCATGACAACATGTTGAACAGATTCTTCCATCATCATAATGGCTTGGATGTACTCTGAAACAAGAACAATCTGGAATGTCATTGTTCAAGTTAAAGATAGTCAAAGGAGTTAAAGGCTTACACTTCATTGTTCAGTGTAAGCCTTCAGTGCTCTTGTAAGTAGTTTCCAGTGTTTTCACTCTTCCTATGCATTCCTCATATATGACTGAACATATGTGCCATAGGTAATGGATGCAAATCATAGTATTTATCTTTCCTCTATATATCACCCAGACCCATCCCCCACCCCATTCCTTATAAAGTTGAGGCTACAGCTTGCGGTCATAGGAATGCAGGATCCTAGGAATATAGAACAATGAAATGGTAAAGCCTAAAGCCAGGGTGGATAGAACTACCTATCACTATTCTAAAAATCTAAAAATTATCTTGCTTTCCCATTACATGTTAAATCCATTCTGAAGTCTGTGCTTTATTCTTATGTGACATAAAAAGTACTGAATTGTGTTTAATTTTAACATCAGTATTTTCTCCTACGGGAAAAGAAAAATCTTAATGGCCCTGAGGGCTGCTTAGGGAAATTAGGATAAATTTAAGATAACTGATACCACAGGTAAACAAATATTGGATGACCCTGGGCTTTAAAATAACGATTCATACCTCTGATAAGCTCAAGCACCTACTTTACCAATCTTACCCTCATCACTGCAGGGGGAAAAAGAGAAGGCTCTCTTTCGTTGTCTGATAAAGTTAAAAAAAAAAAAAACCTGCCTTCTAAAAAAGCCCTGGAAGTAGTTATTATTATTTCCAAATCCAATTATGGATAACAAAAGTGACATTAAACATAAAAAAATCAATAGGTCAGCTGGATTCCAACAAATATGGTAAATATATCTTAATAAGAAATGGTTAAAAGGGTAAAGTAATTAGGAAATTTCAGCCTCAACCTGCCATACATCCAAAAACAAACACCAAAAACTTCTCTCAGCACTCCAAGTAACATTATATGAAGGATTCTTATTGTGAAATTGTTAAAGTGACCTTTTGGCATGAGACTCATGTCTTTGGAATGGCAAACTGAAATCCTTTGATTGACAGGTAACTTGTTTAAAAAAAAGTACTCTGACAGCACTATTAAATTATGACATTCTGACATTCTGTTTCTGAATGTCAAAGCATTAGTTAATCAAAAGCATGTTTTTAAAGAAGTATTGTCCTAAGGATACTTTATACCCAATCAAATATGTGGTTAAACAAACATACACAACACACTTAAACCACAGATACTGTTCTTAGACCAAAAGTAGAAATATTATCATAACTACTATTTAGGGAAAAAAAAAACCCAGTCCTTTCATCTAAGTTTGATTTTTTGTCTTGTTAATGAGGAGCACCCTGTGAGTGCTGAAATGCAAGGGAGTGCTTTTAGATATTCTGTTCAAAGGTACAAAACACAGAATGCCAAGGCTACTGGAGAAAGTGGTACGGCTGGAATGAGTAGACAACCCTCAAAGTAAAAGACCGTGAACATGGAAGAGAAGCAGTGGCACTGACAATGGGGAAGGAGCACGTACAGACAGCCTACTGGAGTGAGGAGAGGAACAGTGAGAACAGGGCGTGCGGGAGTCATTAGTAAGGTGTGAGAGGGGAAGCGTTAGTTAAGAAGCGGTGTTGCCACGTCAAGGCCCTTCCCCGCGAACACCGTAAAATGCTAAATGACAAATGATGATGATAACTACATTAATGTACAATTTTTGAGAAATAAAAAAATAATTTACAAATCTTAGAAGTCCAAATACACGTATGTATGATTACTTGGTGCAGATCGATGAGGCAATGCTGAAGAATGAGGTATGCTATGTCAGGGAGTTGATCCTGAAAAACTGATCTGTTAGGTCCCAAATTTCCAGCACAGTTCAGTATAAAGAGTATTAGGTTTGAATGGGGAAGAGTTACGGGATTTTGCCCTTGCCTAACCTCTCACAAGCCAAAAATCTCAGGTAAGTCATAGTCTTAGTCTCCTAATCTGTAAAAAGTGTTTGTTGTTCAGTAGCATCTACTAAAGAACCAAGCAGAAAGAAAATACTCAGTTATTAGTGTGTTTTCTACTACTAGTCTTTGTTCTTCAAATTGCCACCATTCATTTGCTACAGTTTGGGAAGTTCACAAACAATTCAGAAATCCATTTGATTTAATTCTTAGCTCTGTGTTGCAGAGAGCGGAGAAATGACCTGTGGATAAATGAGATGTTAAGATCCTGTTCAAAGCTTTTAACATTTAAATATAATTTCAAGGAAAAAAATTGAAAGTACGTTTTAAACAGAACACTTGATCTGTGTGAGAAGCTCAAATACTATAAATGTCTTCTTTTCCATAGGAATATGGATATAGGTAACATCCTTGTCTTCTCCTACCCTTACCCTCTTACATAATTAGCTAACTCATAACAGCTACATACTTCCTATGTACTGAGGATAATCCCAAGAGCTGGTGACTCTCCTTACAGAATAAATACATAAGAAACTATTATGTGCCCTGGTTGGTGTGGTTCAGTAGACTGACTGCCGGCCTGTGAACCAAAGGGTCACCGGTTCAATTCCCAGTCAGTGTATGTGCCTGAGTTGCCAGGTAGGTCCCCACCTGGGGGTGTGCGAGAGACAACTGACTGATGTAGCTCTTGCACATCAGTGTTTCTCTCCCTCTCTTTCTAAAAAGAAATAAATATCTTCAAAGAAGAAGCTATGATCTAAATTCAATGAATTACATTAAATAACATCTCATCCACCTTTCATAATCAAAGCCTCTTAGATATTTAATGTCTTGCATATTATTTACAGCACTCTTCTAATCTTTTGACAAAAACTTGTGAGACATTTCAGTAGTATACAAAAATCAGAATGTAGGAAATTCTCTATTTTAATTCATGAGTTAAACTAAATAAACAGGCTAAAATTTCCCGAAAGAGCACAGCATGCTAAAATATCAAAGACATGGGGCTAGAGAGAAATAAATACATTGTTAGAAAAAATTCCTGAATCAGCAACCAATAAAACCAGTCATAGCTTTAAAAAAACAATGTTGACTGTTATTAAACTCAGAATACCAAAAACAAGCATAACAGCAAGTTAATAATTAAAATCTTTTCTGTATTACCAGACGTGGGGTACGACAAAGAAGAGAAACACCTTTGGGCTTTAAAAAAAAATCCATCCTCTTCAAAGGTCAGGTAAACAGAAATAACATACTGTCATCATCAATTAGAACAGTCCCTATCTACATTTGTCCTGCTTCATCTCCCTTTATCCTCCTCACTATTCCCTCATTATTGTTGGTTTTCAATCCCTGAAAGGTAACCTAGGTCCTTCTGACCTTCAGTTTCCAATACTCAGATTACTCGTAACCCATACCCTTCATATCTTTGCTTAAATAATTTCCCTGACACAAGCATAAACTGTCCTCCGTGCGCTTTACCTTCACGGCACTCACCACTGCGCAGACTACCTAGTTCTGTGTGGCGCTGTGCACGGTCCTCTACCTCCACGCATGTACACGTTCCGGGGGGCGGGCACCATGCCGGCTTTGTCCGACATGGTGTTCCTAGCCCCAACAGTGCATGAGTCCAGCAAATATTTGTGAAGTAAATCCTTCATCTTGGAATCTAAATGATCTAATTTTAAGTCCCAAGATATTAAGTGATCCAGTATACCACTAGTATTTATATTAATTAATTTAGCTGGATCTTACCCAATTAAGAGTAAATTTCATTACATTTGGTATAATTAAAAATTATCTACTTAAAGAATTATGTAGTCTCGCAGAAATGGAAAGCATATCATAACAATTAAATTTATCCTAATTTATAAAAACTATTTTAAGCTCAAAACCAACAAAATCAGAAAATATGTCATTCTTTGAGGACAACCTTTCAAAGATGCTATTGTACTAGTGATTTATAAATAAAATATACAATATATATCACTTTTGAATATACTACTGAATATATATTAAATATGTATTTATAAATACATATTTATGTATTACATTACATATATTTTTATATATCACTATATATTACTTTTCTTATTATTTTTATTTTTTAATTGATATTGAGAGAGAGTGGAAGGAAGGGGAGGGCATCGATTTGTTGTTCCACTTATTTATGCATTCACCGGTTGATTCCTGTATGTGCCCTGACCGGGGACTGAACATGCAACATTTGTTGCATTGGGACAATGCTCTAACCAACTGAGCCACCTGGCTGGCCAGGGCTTTTCTTATTATTTTAAATGCACACACTAACTTCAAATAAATTACCTTGCTTCTGTTCACAGTTCACAGCACAGCCTAAGATAAGCTGAAGCATCCTTCCGAGCTCTGCAGCATCAGAATGCTCCCCAATAAGGTTCACATCAGGAAGGGTAAAGTCATTAATTTGCTGTCCTAAAATCTGAATGGAGATAAAAGGATCAGTATTATATTTACATGTACTTGTTTATATGAACAAATAAAGTATTTGACAGACTAAACTGTCAGCAACAGAAACTCACTGCTAAGGACAGAACTGTCATGTCAATCTCTCTCCCAATCTCACTCCCAATTTCTATTTTTACCCCTCAGAAACCTAGGTTATAACTATCCTGATTCAAGCCAGGCCCTAATCTGGTGTGTGGTATGTACACTTAACAAAGAAACTGAGTACTACTGACCCCTCCACCACCCTCCAGAGAAACTGGATGTGTATTCTCTGAAGTGGAGCCAGTGAGGTTCTAAACTAGCGGCATCAGAAAAGGCAGAGATGAATATAGATTCATGTCCCCAACGGTAAGAGTCCTCCTAGCCATCTTCACTCTATCTGACTTCAAAATGCTGATAGCAAGACACCTATAACAGGAAGGAGAATGGAAGTTTACTTTATGGGGAAACTGAGTCGCCCAAATGAAATGACTTATGATGCAGACAAATGGGTAGGTCTCTGACTGATAACCCTAAAGGGAAAAATGACGACCCTAAAAGCACAGGAGCAGGACGAATGGGGCTGTGGTGTCTAGGTTAGGGGAGAGCAGTGTAAGAGGAAGTTAGAGGGGTCATGAAAAACCTGATAGCTCACGTAAGAAGGGTTTGATTCTAAAAATGCAATAGGAAACCATGGAAGACTTTGAAGAGACAGACATAATTAAATTTATGTTTTTAGAGACGATCATCGCTTTATGGTGGAGAACAGACTGTACATGGGCAAGAGTAAAATCAAGGTCACCAGTTAGACCAGTCTAGTAATCTGAGGAAGTGCTAACAATGACTGCTTGGTGTAGGGCGGTGACAACAGAGATGGAGAAAGCTATAATTTGGAGGTTTAACTAATAGGTCTTGCTGATGATAACAAAAGAAGGAAAGGATTATAGGGTGATGTGTAGGTCTTGGGTTTGAGCAGTAGGGTGGATGGCAGGGTCACAGACTGAGATGATGAAGGCAGGGGATATAAGTATTGACACAGGTATAAATGCATGTTAAGCTTGTGGGGAAAAAAAAACAGTAAGAAAATCACACAGGTTGCTAAGTTGTGTTGTGTCCACTAGAAATTTAAAGTAAAACTAGTTCCACAGCCTGATTTTTCCTCCAGCAATGTCTTGCCTGTTCTGATGCAGACTCAGAGGCCAATGAGTTAATCAAGGGATGGAGGTTTGCTAAGAAATAAAATGGAAGTAGTTCAGGGAGTTGACTATAATAATGCATGGACTCTAAACTATATTCACAAGTAAAGAATGAAAGGAGAGAATTAACAGATACAGAAAGTAAAGTTTAACATAAATTAGTGTTCATCTGCAAACTACCCATATTACAGTGAAAGATGGTTGTGTGAGCCAATATCCTGTACAAAAATGGAAGATAAACGGATTATTAATTTTTAGGTAATTGTTCCTTTACTTGAAACTATTGTAAAATATTATAAAATTAAACTATCCTATAGTAGTATTCTCAAGCAGAATAAGAATAAAAGTCCTTACCTCATGATTATAATCCAGGATTCCTTTTAAAATTTTCTTTAGATTGCTTATCTGTTCAGAGAGAGCAAATAACTGGGTAAAAGGTGAATATACATCAAAGTATAGTTTAACAAAAAATTTCTAAATTAACCAATCAACTCAGTTAATCATAAAGTAAATGTAGAAAATAAAATTCAACAGCATGTTTGAATTACCATCATTACCAAAAAAGGACTCTCCAAGGCCTAATTTACTTTATTTAATATATTTATGTAAGAAGTCAAGCTTCCAGTAATATTAAATTTTTAATGTTATGACCACTGACAAAAATTGGAAGGTAACTAAATAAGACTTAACAGTAGGATTATTCAGATTTTCTCCAGCTGAAAAAAAAAATGTACTGTCCTTAATAAAGACTTCAGTTCAGTGCTGTTTTCCCTAGAAAAGTGGAGTTGCATCTTATATAGAGGTTAAGTTCTAAGGTTAAAAGCATTAAGCAAAAATTACAGTCAAAATTATCCTTGGAAATCTCTTAAAGTAACCTACAACATATGTCTCCAAATTCCTCCCTATCAGAAAAGATTGCTTTCTTCAGCTGAGCACTTAAGTAAATATTTAAGAGCCATAACATTAAAAAAAAAACAACTATCATATCGTAAAATGCCAGTATAACAGAGTCTGCACTGCAACGTACTCGTACTATAAGGAGCGACCTAGAAACAGACAGGAGGGGCCAACATACAGATGTCTCCCAACACTCACTCCCTCCCTCCTTCCCTCCCTCCACAGAACACGTTTACTGGCCATATGCTACCCAGGTAAACAACAGGCAGACTCCCTGGCACCATTTATTCTAAACCTGTATTGTTTTTAGATCCAATTCATACGGCTGCATTTGTGTGAAATTAAATGTGCACAGAATATGATTCTGTTGATCATCCACCTAGCTGTTCCTAGCCCATGTTAGGAGTTGAAGAGTCCCTAAGACAGAAGACAGTAGAACCTGTAGCCATCAAACAAAAGAGGCTGAATCACAGGGCAATCCAGTGGTTAATCAGAGACATATTTATTTTTAAGAAAAAAAAAAAAAATTTAACTGAAAACTTGATTTAAAAAAAAATCCATAAACTAATGTCTACACTTATAGAAAAATCTGGAAATATGGAAAATATATAATGTACTTTATTGCCTTTATTCTAATATCTTCATTTTTTCATATTTGAACATTTTAAATTAGAATGCCTTATAATTTAATGTGTTCATCTAAAATGATAGTTTATTTCACAATATTTTTTCATTATTAACAACACTAGCATCGAACATAACACATGCCACGAACTACCTTAGGTATTTTACACACATTAACTGATTTATTTCTATGAGGTGGATCCTATTACAATCCTTGTTTCACATATAGGGAAGCTGAGGCACAGAAAGGATGAAAGATTTTCCCACAGATAGTAAGTGGCACAGCTGTGAGAGGGACACAGGCACGCTGGCTCAGGACCCCACGTCCTCAGTCCCTGGGCCACCAATAGCAAAAGATCTGGATAGCTCCGGGTGAGCAGTTCCAGATCACCTCCAGCCTTCAATTCTAGATGATTTTGCTATAGAGTCTCCAAGTTTCTAAAGCTCACTGGACACACATGTGATCAAAAATCAACAAATATTACATACACAGAAATAAAAGACTAATTTACAGATAGAAAAATAAAAAGATAATACCTTTAGCCTCCAATTATCTCCCACTTCTGTTTTGATTCTATTTAGCCAATTTTCATCAAAATATGCAGGATCTCTACAAATAAGAAAAAAGTAGCATATTAAGATCATGTAGCTATCAAGCAAACAAAACAAAACAAAACAAAAAAAACAAGAAAACCAAGAAAATTGAAACCTATCCCACATCACTTAACTACAACATAAAAATGAATTTGCCAAATAACAGCGACTGAATAACTCAGTACATGAAACCAGGTATCATTACAGCTTTTCCTAAAACGAATGTGTTGCCAGCTCATTAAAATACATACGCATTTTATCAGAAAACTAAAGGATGAAAAATAATAACACAGTTAATATATTTTAAAAACAAATGACAGATAAGTACACTAACTTGAAATTAATATACCAACTTTTATAGACACCATGCTAATATCTGAAAATTTTAAATAGACATAATTTTAAACAAAGGAAATATATGATGGTTAAAATAATTTTTTCAGCTAATATTTCAATGACTTCCATCATTTAATACTTCAAATATCACCAATACTGTTTATAAAGTGTCAATTTTTCAAGATACAAAGCTGAGAATCTATTTTCTCAGATATAACATTGGACATGAGACAAAGTTGGACACCACTTCTGTTTGCAAAAGGCTTAAAATCTAATACAACATTGGTGTGGACAAACTGAAACAAGAATACAACCTGAATATACTTATGGTTATTTTTCTTAGGAACATCTCCTAAAATCTATAAACACTAGAAAGGAAAAACAAAAACAAAACTTTTTAGCTCAGCACGATCATCATTTCAAAGGTTCTGAAACCAAACTCTTAAGAAATTATTTGTTCAACACCACAGAATGTCTGTATTCTCATTCACTGCTGTCCAACATCTCATGTCTGACACAGCAGGTTCTCTGTATTTGCAGACTGAAAAACATTTGGAAAGAGATTGTGTGCTCACTTAGTAAGCTTCCAATCTACTACTTGGACAGAATATAGCAAGAATAGGCACTTACAGTCTTCTTATAGTCAGTGTGCCTTTTCCTAGTAACAAACGTTGACTCACTAAGCAGAAATCTAGCCATAACTCTGGATAAGTAGTTACAATTTCAGCAATGTTTTTTAAGTAGCCCTTAATTGATGCTCTCAGGCTAAGATAAAACAACATAAAAGTAATTTTCTCCAAAATCTCAATAGATTGTAGCTCTGCACAGCTATGGAAATAACAACTGATAATGTTACTGGGAGTGTTCTTCATGACTAAGAAACTAAAGATAGCTTACTACATCCCAACTCTTGCTTAAAAAAAAAGGAAACTTACAAAATCATTTCCTTAGATTTTTCCAGTAACATCATATTTGGCTGTAATTTATGTACCAGTCATAGCTTAAGCTAAAGGATAAATCCAGTCACTTTAATCCTTAATGTAATTCGAGAAATATAATGTCTGACTCAACTGCCTTCACAGAAAAAAAAATTTTATTTCTACTGTTAAAATTATTTAAGCACTGTAAGGTTCTTATTAGACTCCCCCAAATTAAGATTGGGTCCAAAACAAACACTGTATTTGGATTCCATTCCTTAATATGGCATTTCTATCAGCAAACCTTAGAATTTTTATAGATATTTTGTTTCTTACACCTATTTTCTAAAAATCTTTTAAATACATAAAAAAAATTTTTGGTCCCCTGCCATTAAATATTTACTAGAGAGTTAGCTATACCCAAGGGAAATGGAAGCATATGTCTACATAGACAAAGATTTGTACACTGATGTTCACAGCAGCTTTATTTGTAATAGGCCAAAACGAAAATTACCCAGATACTCATCACCAGATGAATACATGAATAGGTTATACAACAGCCATTCAACACAATATGCAGACACTGTGAATACAGGCAGAAACAGGAACATATCCCAGAATTATGCTTCATGAAAGAAGCCACGTCTCTTCCCTCAAAAAAATAAAACAGACCCAGCTGGTGTGGCTCAGTGGATTGAGTGCTGGCTTACGAACCAAAGTGTCACAGGTTCGATTCCCAGTCGGGACACATGCCTGGGTTGCAGGCCAGGTCCCCAGTTGAGGGCATGCGAGAGGCAACAGATGGATGAATCTCTCGCACATCAATGTTTTTCTCCCTCTCTTTCTCCCTCCCATCCCCTCTCTCAAAAAATAAATAAAATCTAAAAAGCAGAAAGAAAATATACTGTCCATTGATATGAATTTCTAGAAAATGCAAATGATCTATAGTGACAGAAAGCAAATCAGTGGTTGCCTGAAGATGGGAAAGGGGTGGCAGGAAAAAGGGATTGAAAGACTTTTTGAAGTGATTGATATGATCATTATCTTGACTGTGGTGAAATGTATTAAATTCTATTCTTTAAAAATGTGTGATTTATTGAAAGAAACAGGGTGGGAAGTGCTTAAAGAAATGAGCTATCAGCTACAAAAACACAGGGAAGAACCTTAAATGTAATGTTGCCAAGTGAAAAATTAGCTGACAAAGAAAATTCTGAATGTCCTAAATTAAATTACGGCAGGCCAGAGGGTACAAGGAAAAGACAAAAGAGGGGTTATCAGGTAACAACTGCAGCGCAAAACCAAGACAAGACTGCTCACACCCCTTAGTGTATGTTGGAATTATTAACTTCCAGGTGGCTGTTTCTTCTTTTCTTTTAAGTTTAATCTTTCTTGTTTTTTTCCCCCCATTACCATTTAGTCCCCTTACATCCCCCTCTCCCCAGCAATCACTACAAGGTGGCTATTTCTAAAAAGGAAGACCAGCCAGATGCCACTGAACCCCAGGAGCCTCAAATTCTGGTTTTACACGTGAGCTTTATGGACTCTGCTGAACAGGCTCTGCTTCAGCTTCTCCCATTCCCCTTGTCTACAGCTAATGTAAATTCTTTCAGAACAGCTCACATCTTTCTCTGCCCTACCTGATGTATAAAAATGCTTGCAAAACTCTGGGTTGAGGGATATGTTGTATTTTCTTCCTAGCCATGCTGCTGATGGTGGTTTGGACTCCATACCCCAAGACTGGCCTTCCTTTTTGCTAAAAGGAAGTCTAATAAACCCTTTCTTTTAAAAAGATACCATCTCACATCTGTCAGAATGGCTATTCTCAATCAATTAACAAAAAACAAGTGCTGGCGAGGATGTAGAGAAAGGGGAACCTTGTGCACTGTTGGTGGGAATGCAGACTGGTGCAGCCGCTGTGGAAAGCAGTATGGAGTTACCTCAAAAAATTAAAATTGGAACTTCCTTATGACCCAGCGATTCCAGTTCTGAAAATTTATCCAAAGAAACCCAAAACAGTAATTCAAAAGGATATATGCACCCCTATGTTCATTGCAGTGTTATTGATAATCGCCATGATTCAGAAGAAGTGCAGATGCCTACCTCTAGACAAGCGGATAAAATGGCTGTTGTACACTCACACAATGGAATACTACTCGGCCATAAAAAGAAGAAAATTTTACCCTCTGTGACGGTACAGATGGACCTGGAGAATATTACACTAAGTGAAATAAGCCACGCAGAGAACAAGTACCATATGGTTTCACTCATATGTTGAATCTAATGAACAAACTGAACTAACAAGCAAAACAGAAACAGAATCAGAGATAGAGCAGGCTGACAGCCCCTCTGAGGAAGGGGGGATGCAAAGGGATCCAGCCAAAAAGAAAAAAGAACTCATGGACACAGACAACAGAGAGATGATTGCTGGGGGGGTGGGGAGGGTAGGCGTGGAGGAGGGGGTGGATGGAGGTGGAAAAGAAGGTATAGAAGTATAAAAACGGTAATGGAAAAAATACATAAAAAAATAAAAAGACTTTCAGCCGTCCAAGTTAAAATTTTTGTTGAACAAAGCCAATCTGAAAAAGGCTATATATACTGTATGATCCCAACTGCAGAGCATTCTGGAAAAGGCAAAACTATGTAGACAGTAAAAAGATCAGTGACTTAGTGACTGGCAAGGAGCCGTGGAAGGAGCAATGATTAGGTGGAACAAAGGCGAGGTTTAGGGTAGTAAAACTAAACCGTGACACACTATAACGGTGGATACATGTCATTATGTATTTGTCAGAACGCACAAAAGGTAAAGCACAGGATGAACTCTGAATTAGGGATGTGGGTGGTAACGATGTGTCTTCATCAACTCTAACCCACGTGTCACTCATCTGGGAATGCTGATAGTGGGGGATGCTCTGTGTGTGGTGGGGCAGGAAACACGTGGCAACTTGTCATAATTTCCACTCAATTTTTAAAATACTTTTATTGTAGTAAAATTTATCACTTAAACCACTTTTAAATTCAGTGGCATTAAGTACATTCACACTGCTGTGCAACCATCACCACTATCTACCTCCAGAACCTTCTCATCCAAACTCTTCTGCTGAATTTTGCTGTGAAACTAAAACTGCTCTAAAAAAAACCAGTCTATTAATTGAAAAAGTAAAAATGAGGGGGGACGTGAACAGACAGAGAAGACAACAACAGAATTTGGGAAGCTGGAAAGCAGAGGAACAGAAAATGACTCTAAAATTGAGAAAAAATAAGTTACACTAACAATAAGCTTACTTAGATCTGTTCAGATTTGATAAAATTTCTACTAAAATTACAAAGATATATAGTTTTCCATTTATCAACTCAAAGTGAAAAGATTTGTTATTTCCAGTAAAACTCTCCTCTTAGCACACCTACTTTACTGATTTTCCTCGTAACTCTCAGTTCCATCTGCAAGTCACTGTTTTAACCAACAATTAAATGTTAAAGTTCTTCAAGGCTCAGGCTATGCATTTTTTCTTCTTACCCCATACTCTTCCTTGAGTGACACAATCCACATCTATGGCTTTGATGAAAAAATATGCAAATAGGTTATCTCCAGTTTCAGACTCCTCTTCGGAACTCTAGGCCTGTATGGTCAACTGTTAACTTTGCATTTTCTCTTAATGTCTCAGAACCACTAACAGCCAATGTTCCCCAACATTGTTCCTCATGGTGCATCCAGCTCTCCTTCATATCAGATCCCCTTTCAGTGTCCCCACATCAGTGGTTTGCACCCTCTTCTGTGTATTCGCTTGAGTTGGAAACTTAACAGTCAATTTTGATAACTACCTTTTACTAGCCCGTATCAATCATTGAAATTTGACTTCTTGTACCATTTTGAGTCTATCCACTTGATCTCCTTTGCCACTTCCTAGTCCAAAGTACCATCATTTCCCTTCTGAGTTATTACAAATTTCTTTAAAATCGATTATCTGTTGTTATCATTGTCTCTTGCAATTCATTTTATACCTGTAGCCAGACAATTTTCAAAATATAAATCTACGTTAACCCCTCCCCAAAATAAACCCCCTCTATTGCTTCTCATGGCCCTTGGAATAAAGACATAAGTCCTACATGGTTTGGCTCCACCCACCTTTCCATCCTCATCTTGTACCATGCTCCTCTTCTCTAGCCACTTGGACCCTCTTTCTTTCTATGGTGGTGGTCACCATATACCATTGGCCTATAAGGCCTCTACATGTGCTCTTCCCTTTGCTAAGAAACCTGTTTCCAAGGATCTGTCAGATTCAATATATCTTTATTTACTCAGGTGGAATGTTCATGACTTCCTTGACTAAGTTAAATATGCCTCTTACAAACTTTCATAACACTATGTATTCCTCCTCTGCAGAACTTGCTATAGTAGCAATTTTGTTTTCACGGTTATTTAAAATCTGTTTTGTCCCAGGTTATAAACTCTCTGAAGGCAATTACCCTGTGAGTTGCTGCTTATCTTTGCATTACCAGTGCTTGACCCAAGTAGCTGTTCAATAAATATCAAACTGAAAACAGAGGAACTGTACTTCCAGAGAAGTTGAATATACTATAGAATTACTTAAAAGAGATGATATGCAGCAGTATGAATGAATCTCACAGACGTTATATTCAGTGAAGGAAGTTAGAAATAAGAGTATACACTGTATGATTAAATTTATAAGATATTCAAGAACAGGAAAAACTAATGATGTAGAAGTCACAAGCATCTTTGGGGCAAGGGATATTGATTAGGGAGGGCCATGAAATGAATCTTGGTGCAAGAAATGTTATATTTCAATCTGGGTGATGGTCACAGGATGCATGTATAGATATACATACAACATATATAGATATACAAACATAAACTCATCACTTTTTAGGTATGTTTTTCTGTATGTGTTATAACTCAACAAAAGGGAAAAAGGAAAGCATTTTGGGGAAAAAAAAGTTAAAAATCTAAGTATCGATGAGAAATATGCCCACAAGACTTCGGTAAATTAAGGTAACCATTTTGTAGAATACAATAGTTTCTTTTGACCTTCATTTAGTAAATTGATATAGTCTTTCTTCTGGTTTCTTCAAGTGAGAAATCCTACCCAAACTAATTTAAGCAACAAATTCATTCACTGACACATACTTGGTAGGCTCACTTAGCTATGTCTACACGCCCACAAATAAATTTTATTAAGAACTTCAGCCCTGGCTGGTGTGGCTCAGTGGATTGAGTGCCAGTCTGCAAACCAAAGGGTTGCCAGTTTGATTCCCAGTCAGGGCACATTCCTAGGTTGTGGGCCAGGTATGTGAGAGGCAATGACACAATGATGTTTCTCTCCCTCTATTTCTCCCTCCTTTCTCCTCTCTAAAAATAAATAAATAAATTTAAGTTAAAAAAAAAAAAAAAAGAACTTCAGTGAAACGCTCTAGGCCATTCAAAGGCTAAAAGTTTTTAGGGCACCACTCACAAGTGGCCATGAAAATCACAAGATCACTCTGGTCAGGTTTCAAATGAGCCTTCTTGAGCTCCATCAAAAAGTCTGTATGCCTGTATACCTGGAAAGATGTGCCACGTAAGTTACAAAAGAAAGCAATAGCAAGCTATAGTTTTTAAGCATGAGCCCCCAATGCTAAAGGCACACAGATTCTCTGAAATGCTGGCATTTGAACTGCTTCTCAGATGGGCAACTGCATCCAGCTTACTATAAGGTGAGCAATAGCAAGAATTAACGATGGCAATGATTCTCAATAGAAGAGCAGGAAATCCTCGCTAGTCATATGCAAATCTTTTAATATCATCAGGTTGACAAGTGCCCAGGCCTTCAGAAGACAAAAGTATCTCCCAAATTGCATGAAACTCAACAAATTCTGGGGTTTTAAAAAATATTTTATTTATTTTATTTTTACAGAGAGGGGAGGCAAGGAGAAAGAGGGAAACATCAATGTGTGGTTGCCTCTTGCATGCCCCCTACTGGGGACCTGGCCTGCAATCCAGGCATGTGCCCTCACTGGGAATCGAACCGAGCATAGGGGGATGGTTGTCAATTATTTTATATGGGTGCTTAGAGAAAAACTCACTGTCACATTTCAGCATTATTACTAGGAGTAAGCCTCTTAGCTTCTTCTAGGAGGCTTATGAACTGAAAGGTTGCCAGTTTGATTCCTGGTTGGCACATGCCTGGGCTACAGGCCAGGACTCTGGTTGGGGGGGGGGGTGCAAGAGGCAATCAATCAATGTTTTTCTCTCACACATCAATGTTTCTCTCCCTCTCTTTCTCTTTCCCTTCCCCTCACTAAAAAGAGAAAATAAAAATTTAAAAATCTTAAAAGAAATTGCTAATATTTGACCATTTTTTTATCTACAAAAAAAAAAAAAGGTCATTTTCATGTGGTTCAGCCAAACACCAGGCATTACCCTAGGTGCTACGACACTACAGCAAACAAAAACATACCCTGCCTCTATGAGAAGCTTACAAGTATACGTGTTTGTGGGGGGACCGGGAACAGGGGCAGCAGCAAATAACAAACAAGCGAATATATGGTATATAACATAGTGTTAACATACTTTGCAAAAGAATACAAATGGTTAAAAGGGATACAGAGCATAGGGGGATGGTTGTCAATTATTTCATACGGATGGTTAGGGAAAAACTCAGTTACATTTCAGCATTATTACTTGGAGTAAGCCTCCTAGATTCTTCTACAATAGCAAAATCTGGTTACTAATATGAAAATTTCTGCCAAATTTATGCTAAAAAACATAAGAACAAATCATTCTGCTAAAACCACTACAGTATTATAATTATTACAGCCCTAATTATCTTGCGGCCAATCTGTACCTAAACAAGTACATGCCATCAAAGCTACCACTCTTGCTTACAGTTCTTATATTATGTGCAATATACATCTCACATAAGCACTTTATTTTCTGCTCATGTTTTAATTTAATCAAATACCCATGTATAATGACATGCAAAAAATAAAGCAATTTATTCTTACATTTTTTGAAGAACCTGGGCCATCACAACCCCACTCGTTAAATCTTCCACGGTCTGGCATGGTGCATCCACATTAAATGTCTGGATCTGAAGGGGAAAAAAAGATTCTACAGTTAACTATACAGAAGATTTCTTAGGCTTCTATTTGTGAGTACCAGCTCTTGGGAGTTTCAATAAGTTTAAAAGGCAGAGAGTTGGAATTATTTTCTCTTAGAGGCAGTTTCCTTCAGGTTATTATAATTTTTTCCCTTTGGCAAAAAAGAAATAGTAAAGGACACTGGGTGACTCCCAGCATCCATTCTATTCACAGATGATCAATATAAGACAGTTATGGCACCTTCATCCCATCTACCAATGACTGATTCAGGGATGTGTAGGGTGAAGACTATTTGGACCAAAGAGATGCAAGAGAATGCGTACTTGAACTTCTGGGAAAGGAGAGGTGATCTCCTCTTGAAGTGAATCAACACGCTGCCTCAATTGCCACTAGCAGTCTCCTGATGACTACTAAGGGAATCACCTCTGGATGAGGCCAGTGCAATGGAATGCAGAGAACAGGCATAGAAAAACTAAGTTCTGGAGGCCAAAACCGATCCACTAAATTTAAAAACCTTGAAGCCCTGTTATGTTCGATAAATCTCTTGTTTAAGCCTGGCTAGCTTGAGGCTTCTTTTACTCAAAGCTAAAAATATCTACACAAATGTAGAAGTCACATTATGGTTAGGTTAGGTTAGGTATTTAATTCACTTTGATTTTAAACGCATTCTGAATTAGAACTAACTCTGTATGGTCAACATGATGTGGCCAAAAAAACAGCCGAAATTATTTCCATGAGTAAGACAATACAGCTGAGTCAGCAATGATTATACCCAGCAGTGCAAGCAGGACTCAGAAGGAAAATAAATCACTGAGGACAGACAGATGCAGGCCATGCTCTCACACAGTTTATAGGTCAGTAAAATGAAAGGGTATCACAGGAAATGTAAACAGCAAGCACAAAGATTAGAAGCTAGAGTAGGATATAATCTAGGAATGAAAAGCAGCTGGTATGAATTGGGGGGTAGGGAGGCAGAGACTGGAAAAGAGATGGAACAGAAAAAAAGAACAAAATGGTGAAAGACAGAGTTAAAGACAAAGCATGATTGTACAAAACCTCATAAGCGATGTTAGGACATTATCCTAGAAGTGAAAGGGGTTAGCAGGAGAGTGAGGCCATGCGATCTACATTGTACAGGGGTGGGCAAAAGTAGGCTTACAGTTGTGAGTGTGCAAGACACAGCTCATTTTTGTATTATTATTTACTAATTATTGTATTATTTTCCATGTGAACAACTGCAAACCTACTTTGCCCACCCCTGTATAAAGACCATACAGATTCTGGTGAGAATCAGTATCATCATTAAAGGAATTCTTGCTGTTGCTCACCTTGCAGTGACCTTGGAAATATTGGGACTAATAGTTGGGTGACCATCTGTCTTCACACACATTTTTACTGATTGGATTATATATCTATAAGATATTTCAGGATAGCAGTGCAATAAAATTTAAAGATAATTGCACCTAACTGCATTAAGGCACAACATTTTACCTGGAGTCATAACCTCTTTTTTAATTCCAAGAAGCCATTTTAACCCCACCCAAGCTCCACATCACCCCCCCCCCCACCCCAAACACACACACAAAAGCATGAGAAGAGTAAAGCATGAGATCACCTGGACTTAGTTACTTCTAAAGCAGTGGTTCTCAACCAGAGGCAATGTTACTGCCCACAACACATTTTTGGTTGTAACAACTGGGTGGTCGCTCATGGTATCAAGCAGATAGAAGCCAGGGGTGCCACTACTAAATGCCCTATAATGCACAGGCAGGGCCTACACCAAAGTATTACCTGGCCCCAAATGTCAATAATGCTAAGGTTAACAAACCCTTCAGTGGAGCAGTGGTTCTAAAAGCATGGTGTCCCCAGGCCACTAACAATAGCATCACCTAGAAACCTGTTAGAAATGCAGAATATCAGGCCCCAGTCCAGACCTACTGAATTACAAACTCTGGACATGGGGCCTAGCATTCAGTATTTTAACGAGCCCTCCAATGCTGTTAATCAGCAGTAAAGCACAAGAACCCCTTCTTAGCTCTAAACTGAATGCAATCAAAACACAGAGGTGAAACTACTTGTCCAAAGTCACCTATGGTATGAAATAAAAATCAGAATTTGAACCCAGGTGGTCTCATGTCAAGAACCTATACTATTAATTACCATGTTATATTCTCTCTTTATTAAAAATAATTCAAAGCTTTAAAAAATATGCGCCTTAACTTTCATATATCTGATTTCTTTATTTGTCCATTAGAAGACAAAAATTATCAGAGAATGGACTTAAACAAAGCACAGAGAATGGAAAGGGAACACATCATAAAAACCCTCCCATCCCTAATTTTACACACTAGTGTGCACCTTATAGGCTGCTAAGTAAGTAGTATGAAAATTTTAAGGATATGTTAATGTGAGTGGGTTTCCCAGAAGAAATGTACTGGCCAATGTGATGATAATTCTTTTTCCACTCAGCTGCTTGCCATTAACTGGTAACCTCCCAGATTTTTTCTGGCTTTTTAGTCTTTAAAACCTAGGAAAAAGCACTCTTTTCATGTATAACTCAAGATATTAGGCTGACAGGTGTACTAGGCAGGGCAGATTTTTCTAACAGGTAAGAAACCTTTTTTGACTCACAGGGTGGGGAGAGGAGGTAGAGTGGAAATTTTCAAGCACATCCGGCTGAACTTGCTTGAAGCACAAACTATGATTTGGAATTTAAGTTTAAGATGTTTTCCATTGTGGGGTGATACCTTTTCTTTTTTTTTTTCTTCTTTTCATGGTCCAAAGGACAGTTTATTTAAAACAAAGGTTACAGGTGTAGGAAGAAGGAATACTTATCTTTTCATAAGTATTCCTCTTTCAACAAAAATTAGAACATCTGGCTCTTGGGCTAGTAGCTGTCTCATACGACAGCAATTTATTTAGCATTTAGGGCAAAGAGATGTTCCACAGAAACAAATTCTACATAGGTGACTAACAGTCATTCCATTAAGTGCTGAGCTTTTATTATTTTTACTATTTCTAGTGGAAGGATTTCTAAAATGTACTATAACCTCTAACCTCAAACTAAATGCTATATAGTTACCATAAACTTTTATTTGAGGTTCAGGATCATAATGGAAGCTCTCGAAGTTATCTAAGACTCTCAGCTCAACGACTGACTCACCCAGACTAAACTTTGATTTTTTGCATCTTCTATGTTACTGACAGCTGTATGTATTTTGCTGAATATTGTAGTTACCCTCTAACCTGCTATGTGCAAAGAAACCACCACACAACTTGGCTATAAGTTTATGTAAAATAAAGTAAGTTATTCTAAACAAGAGACTTATCTTTGGAGTGTACTGCATACACTTTCCCCTTCCATTTAATTTTAGGATTCTGTTCAGCACTAATCTGGCCTCAGACAGGAGGGGAGCTATGAGCCTGAAGGTACATTTTCAGTTACCGCAAACATTTTCCACATACACGCTTACTTTGCTTTTTATAATGAAAACTAAAGAGAACAAACATAGCATTTAAACTCCTTTGCTTTGAAACATTTCAATGTATAATGTTTTAAAATGTTTCCAAATCTTAGATTTGTACATCTTTGTATGAACCCTCTTCTCCAGTTTTGTCCCTGATAATTTCTCACCTTATCTTTTCCAGAAATTGTCCTTGATGGGCCTTCCAGTGGCATTTCAAAAAAGCTTTTTTTTTTTTGCCATATTCCCTGACCTCTCTCAACAGCTGATAACCTGGATTACCTGTTTTGACATTTTACCAGATTCTAAATAGATGCTCTGACATTGTGTCCTTCTGTTAGCAGCCCTTCAAACTCCCCTGTGTTCTTGCTCTACTATTTTTATTAGCATTCCTCACTCAAATAACTGCACTACTATCTTTTAGCAGATGGCTTTGAAACACACCTCTTTGTTTCCATGACTCCTCTTTCTAGACTTTAAACAATGTAGCCCTACTTCCAATTCAATTAGCTTCCTCATCCTTGCCCTCTTGCCTCTTTTTCTAGCATGGAGGGAGGCTCTACTTTGTACAGACTCAAAAATGCACATCTTAAGAAAGATCCTTAATCTTCTGTTTACAACCTCTGCCAAACATATTCGTCCACATACCAAAGAATGTGGTAATTCTTTCTTTTATCTCTTCTCTGCCTAGCCAAACCTTGGCCACATTGTGCAGCTTATCAGTTTTTCTCTCCTCTAAAATACAGCAGTGAAACTCATCTCCCAGCCTGAAGTTGGAACTCATTACAACTGTAAACTATATGTTAATATTACTGCAAACAACCTGAAATCCCAAGAATGGCCCAATATAAAAATTCATGAGTATTATCAAGCTCTGCCACTGTATGTATTGTTTCAGAAGATGTAGTGTGATTCATGACAGAAGCCAAATTTCAAAAACATCATACTATTTTCATTACGTTTGTTACAATAATGCTTCTCTAACCTTCCCACCAATATGCCCCCACACAGGACAGTCACGTCCATACTCCAGGGATCTGAACTTGTATCAAGGTACCGCTAAGAGAATTTCTTTGACATTTGTGTTTTACCTTTAACATTAATAGAAATACGGTAGTCACCTCCATAAACATACCAGTGTTTTATTCTAGAAATGATATTTAACATTTTTAGAAATGAATAAAACGAAAACTCCCGAAAGAAGCACTAGGTTTATCCCGTGGCTCTGAAGACCCCCTACATACGCGCGCGCGCACACCCCAGGAACTGATACCACAGTGAGAAACACACAATCAGGGGTTTTTAGGTCCAGCTCTCGAAGGGGCTGCTCGAGGCACGAACGGGGGCATCAGAATCGAACACATATTTACTTTAAAACGTGAGGATTTTAATAAGCGTTTAGTAATTCCACATAAGAATCCCACAACGCTGCCCCTGAAATGTCGAGTTCCATGGCTGATTCCCAAATACCTTCCAGATTTTATCTGCACTACCTTTAATAATCACCTCCACACCGCTTGCTTTTTAATCGCTAAAATGCATCTAGCCTTTTAAATAGTGTTTCTGGGTGTCTTATTGTATTTTTCCTATCCTCCCTTAAAAGTACCTCTTTTTTTAGTGGGCTGGCTCAGCCCTTAAGGGGCCGCGCTCTACCATCCGAGAACGACACAACAAAGGCGCGGAGCGTCGTAACCAGGGGTCCCGAGTGCCTCTATCGGCTGTCCCGGAGGCAGAGGGAAGCAACGCTTCAGTGTCCCTAGGAGCGCGAGAGGGAAGCGCCAGCGCCTCATCAGCTGCAAACAACCCTAATTACAGTGCCCCATCATTACCCGCCTGTACCCCATCATTAGCCTCCACCGGGCCAACACCTTTAGCCCGGCAAGTCTCCCTCAGACCCTGGGCCGAACCTCCCGCGCCCGACAGCCCCCCTGCGGACCCCCGCCCTGCCGCTGGTGTAGATGCGGCCCGCACCAGCTTCCCCCACCGGCTCCGCCCGCCCCAGGCCCCGGATGTGACGGCACCGCCGTCCGGGCGCTAGCCCCCCGCGACCAGCACTGGGGGGGATCCCGGAAAAGCAGCCTGGGACTAGGGGTCTTCCCCCGACCAGCCGGTCAACACATACCCAAGTGAGAAGGCTCTCGCACAGCTCCACCCGTTCCGCCGACTCCACGTTAAACATCTTCCCCTGCTGGGGCTTGGCAGCGCCTCCCCACCTCGCCAGGAACCGCAGCCGCTCTGGCTGGGACCGCGTCGGAGGGTCCGAGGAGCGGATCTGGCCTCTGGCCCACCTGGTCCTCGGGCCCGAGCCACGGACTCCGGTCCGGGACTGGCAGCGGCTCCCGCACCGTCACTCCTGGCGCCCCTCCTTCTTTTCCACTCTGGATGCGCGTCCGCTGCGCTCGCCTCCGGCCACGCCCGCAGCCCGGGTCCCCGCCCCCAGCCCTGGCCAGAGCTGCGGCCAAGGGACCACTGCGCGCAGTCGCGCTCCGGCCGGCCCGCCTCCCTGCCGCCGCCGCCGCCGCCGCCGGCGCAGCGCGCGCCCCGACGCCTGTCCCTGCGTGTCTTGGCGCGCGCGCGCCGGGCCCTGGCGGCGGCGACCGGTCCTCCACGCGCGTCCTCACGGAAGCGCAGCTATGCGCGTGCGCCTGTGCTCGCCCTCCAAAGTAGAAAGGAGGCAGCTAGTGGTTGGCCGGGAGGGGAGACGGGGGCAGTCCCCGGAAATAATCTCTATCCTCAGTCACCCGGAATTGGCGAGGTATCCTCTGCGGTGGAGAGGTACGCGCCCCCTTCCCACCCCTCGGGGTCGTAAGGCCGCGGCCGGCCACACCCACCCACCGGGTTCGGGCTGCGGAGTTCTCGCAGGGCCCGGCGTGGGCGACACTACGCGGGGGTTTTGGCGCTCCCCAGGCTCCTCGGGGCTAGGGAGTCGCTACCTCGGACTCCCAGGCTCCGCTTTTCTTCTGGAAGCCCGGGCAAAGCTCCAGAGTCGTCGGGTCCCGTCCAAAATCTCCCTGGAGACGGTGGAAGGGCTGAAGTGGCGGGCGTCTCGGGGATTTTAGGTGGGTTTGGCCGGCGATGAGGATAGCCCGCCGCCAACCTTCTTGGCTTTCGTGGACCTTCGATTTTCTGAAAATTTTAGTTACATAAAGTGGGGAGAAGGTGTGCCCCTAGTTCACCTATCCGTGAGGACCCGACAGTTCCTGGGGCCTGTCTGCCAGTGTCCCGCTGCTAAGTGCTGGTCTTCATCCTTAGTGGCTAGATGGATCATCCGCGAGCTCTCACATTTTTAGAAGTGTGAATCTCTGCAGGATTACCGATAAGTTTTTATGCGATATGACAAACTTCATACAACTTACATGTTTAAAGAATAATCGATAATAAACCACCCAGACAAAAACAAAGATCATTAATGGTACCTCAGGAGTTTCACACACACTTGTATTCCCTTCTGAGCGCTATTTCCTCCCTAGACTGATCGACTTTCGTGCTTTTCCTTATAGATTTACCACGTAGGTATGCATGCCTAAACAATATAGTTTTACTTGCCTGTTTTGAACTTTTAAGAGTGGGATCATATTGTATTATTTTGTGGCTTTGAATTGATGGTGAATTTGTGTAGATCTATGGGTAATTTTATTGCTGTCTAGCATTCCATTGTATGAATATATCCATTCTACTGTTGATGGGCATTTTGTTCCAATTTGAGGATATTAAGAACAATGCTGTAAGTATTCTTAAACTAGATTCCAGTGCAAATGTATAAGAGTTTATTAAGAATACATGCCTTAGAGTTCTGGAGAATTGTTAGTTCATAAAAAAAAGGTACACATAATTTTTATTTGGTAATGTCAAACTTTTATTTGAGGTGTGGCAAATTTAACTTCCCACGGCACATCTTTACTTTGGTTTGCAGTTCCTGGAGCCCCTTTTATTTTCGTTAAAAGTAGGGGTTTTTTTTAGTGAGCACTTAGAACAATCAAGATGGTACAGACTTTTTAGTGATGCCTTACAGAGTTAACAGTTCCTATGATGATTTCTCATTTTTGTAAATGTAAAAAATCTTTTTTGAGGTCTTCTCAGTGGTTCTTGTAAGTCTTCCTCTCTACACTAAGGGTAGAGAAACCTTTAGAAATGTTAATATGTTTCTCACCTGCCTTTGTTTCCTTTGGTGCCTTGTGGAGCTTTGTCAAACCAGAGTTCCCGCATTCCATGGTAGTTGTTTCTGCAAGAGGTAGAATCCTTTGCACTTTTAAGTGACCCATTACCCTTGTTAGGCATGCAAAGTCAGTACAGGAGCCTGACTCCCCTGCAGCTTGTCGTTGGATGTGGAGGAGAACAGGATGCTAGCTAGCCGTTTCCGGAAGGACTGTGGTGTAGTGAGCCCCTCAACTCCAGCTGCCCAGGTTTTCAAGGCTTTGACACAGTTGACTTAAGCCTCTTTTTTCATGCCAGGCTGCTCATCCCAGTGCGTCTGTGCGTGACATTGCAGTGTTCTTGAGGTTCCGTTGTGTAACTCCAGTTACCTTCCATGAAGGAAATTATTTTAAAACTTCTTGGACGTAGGTAGTTGTTGCAGAAGCCAGCACGTTCCTACATGAGCTTGGGTAGAAAACAATGAGTTTATCCTTTGAAGTTATGGAATTTCCTATACTTGCCTTATTTTTGTGTGTGTGCCTGTGTGTTTCCTGAAAACTTTGGAACAGACCAAAGAGAAGTGAGTGGAACTTATCTTAGCTGTCTCCTTACTCTGGTTAATTGGAGGCTAGTTCTTATCTGCAGCTATCTATCAGATTCAAGTAAATGTGGTGGTGCCCTGCGTGGCAACGTTCTCAAGTTTATCCTGTCTGCCCAGGTAATACATACTTAGAGCTTCGATTAAAGAGTCTGAGATGCTACATAGTGCAGCTATGGGGAAAGTATGGTTAAGTTTCATCGTGGTTCAGCTGATTCCTTGACAGTTGTTAATAACAGTAATCAAAATATTATAGCTTCCATTTACTGAGAGCCTATATGATGTGCCAAGCAAATATGCTAAATGTTTCTTCATTATTCCCTAAACTCCATAAAACAAGGCGTTTTTTTTGCCAAAAAGTGACAGTTTGATATGGTTCAAATTAATATTATGTGTTTTACATATAAAGAAGCTGAGACCCAGATTTTACGTAAGTACAGTTGTCTGACTCCAAAGCTTATGCATCTTTGATATACTAAGATATCCTTCATTGATGTCCTAAGACTTAGCCAGCTAAGCAATAACAAAGTTAGAACCCAGCTCTGCTTCTATGAATTACTCTATTAATTATTCAACAATTATCAACACAGTTTTGAAGATATACAGTGTTTTGTTTCTTTAAATCTCAAATAGTTAAAGTATTAGTAACACATTTTCATATTTGACAAGATCCTATGAAATAGATTATATATCATATTTTAGAAATTTAATAACCTCATTTCTGGGTTTGAAGGCAGCTACATTTATTGGTCCCTACAACATGTAGTATTCCCCGTGTGCTGCTCAAGGAAATAAGATATAGTCAGTGCCTCCCAGTGGTCTCTATAAAACACTATCCAGAAACAAATGGTAGGTAAGAATGAGACTAGAGACACCTTTTTTAAAAAGACTTTATTTAGATTTAGAGCAAGGGAAAGGGAGGGAGAAAGAAACATCAATGTATGGTTGACTTTCACACACCCCGGGGGACCTGGCCCACAACCCGGGCATGAGCCCTGACTGGGAATCGAAGCAGCGACCCTTTGGTTCACAGGTCGGCACTCAGTCCACTGAGCCACACCAATCAGGGCTGGAGGTGGGCATTTTAAATCTGAGCATTGAAGCCTAATTTTTATTTCTCAAGGGAGGAAGCAGGCACTGGCTTTTCTTTTTATTGTTAAAGTAATATGTACTTGAATTCAGACTATAAAACTGTAGCCTGGGAAAGGTGGAGATCTGGCTTTTCCAGTGTGCTCCTCATTTGTAAGCCACTTTAACCCGTGGTATTTATGTTTCCTGGTTGGTTGTTATTTTTCTATTCAGAGTTTCCAAAAAACTCTGAATCAGAGGAATGTAGTGATGGAAGTAACTTGAACCATTAAAGCCACCGACAAGTAGGTCAGTCATCATTAGTAGTTCTCCGTGTGAGAGTCCCTAGGTTTAAATAGGATTTCCACATGGCAGGAAAATGCAACTGACCTCTGTGTTCCTCGTAGTGGTCTCCCTCCTACTGTTTCTCAGCCCAAGTACCTTCTTTGGGAACTTCTGCTATAAAATGATAGCAAATAATATTATATGGCTTTGCAGTACTTAATATATCCTGGATCTGTGAGCTCTTGAGCTGTTCATGAAGCAATATTTTAAGGGTGTAATTACATGGAAGTCCTATACACATGTGTATACATAGTAGAATGAATATGTGTGTGTGTGTGTGTGTGTGTGTGTGTGTGTGCATTAGTAGTAGTAGTACAGTAGAATTTAGTCACATTACCACTGATTATACCTGGAAGGACATAGAAACAAACATCATCTATTTTTATTTATTTTTTTTTTACATTTAGGCAGCCAAAGGAAGGCGAAGGAAATTACTTAGCACCTTCTCCCCTGAAAACCCGATGCATGCCAGATACAATCCTTTTTTTTTTTTAAAGCACAAAGTAGTAAACTCCCTAAAATGTGTAGTATAAAAGAAGATGCTCACAACTCTGTGAAATAATTAGGTTCAGTAATTACAGGCTGGAAATCTCAACACAGAGAATAACATTTTAGTTATCTTTAAGCAGATGCAAGTAGTTCTCACTGCCCTTAGGACTTTTGACACAGTGATAGCATCTATAATTTAAAAAGAGGAAACCTGGTCAAATAAAAATCTAAATTGACTACATGGCCCACCCCCAGATCATATGAGACTCTTTCTTCAGTTTCGGTTGGCAGTTCCTTTGACTGTTCTTTTGAATAAAAATACTGGAGTTAAGGCTCCTTTCTCTGTTTCCTGGTGTGAGCCTTCATCATGGATATATGAAACCTGTCATTAGAAAATTCTTCATATATCAGGCCATTACCATGTGTAAAGCTGATGAAAGACTCCTTTGATCTGTTTGTTTGCTTTAAGAAAATTAAGAGGTAGTTTTCTTACAAGCAGCCAGTTCAGATTCTTTTCAGAGGTCTTAGACTTGCACACTCAAAGATTCCTCTTAACAGGGACTCTCTTGATTAATGATATTGTGAGTTACATAAATACAGAATTTTTTATTTTAATTATGAATAGTCATATATATTTAATTGAATATTTCCTTTATTTCCATTTAGGTGTCTTATAAGTCTTTGAATTTCACTGCTTTGCCATCTGAAAAACACCTGAAATGTGGCTGGGCTGTCTCTTCTCATACCTATAGAAATTGGGCATTACCATTTCTCTTTAGTTTCTTCCATGGGAAGGAGAGTTTCACTTCCTCCCTTTTCTCTTCTTCGTAAGGAAATGCAGTTTGAGAGTGATCCCATATTCCAGGCAGTTCAAAGAATTCTGAACCATAAGCTGAGGTTAGTCCCAGGTGAGACTAATATTTTTTCCAGAACCTCAATTTTCATTAATTCAAGTAGTCTTAGTCTAGATATAAACGTCCAGTAGCCTCATTGTCTTGTACTTTTCCAGTTACTAACACTATAAGTAAGGTAAGTCACTCTTATTTAAACATATATTACTAGGTCCTACTGTGTACAGGACACTATGCTAGGTAATATAGGAATATGTACAGAAAAAGCTATTTCCTTCCTTATCCACATGTGATAAATTCTATGATGCACATTTAGTGCTATGAGGAAGAAGAGGGATCTCATCTACTTGGAGAAGCTATTTGGTATTCAAGCATAAGAAAAGAGCAGTTGGGCATGAGTAATGCCTTTTTTTTCCCCCTTAAAATTAAAAGAGCTGCCCTGGCTGGTGTGGCTCAGTGGATTGAATGCCAGCCTGTGAACCACAGGGTCACCTATTTGGATTCCTGGTCAGGGCACATGTCTGGGTTGCAATCCATCAATGTTTCTCTCCCTCTCATTCTCCCTCCCTCCCCCACTCTCTGAAAATAAATAAATAAAATATTTAAAAACTAAATTTAAAAAAGGAGCTAAGCTTGAGAAAAGGTAAAAGAATATAAATGGGTGTTATATTATAGTAATTGTTTTTCTTAAAAGATATAGAATCATGTGCTCTCCAAAATAATGTCTGGCAAATTTTGAAGAACTCATTAATGGGGCAGTCCACACTGGAATTATGCTTAATGCAACCTACTTTAAGTGGGTACTAGAAAAAAATTAAATATATTAGAAATCAGCTATATTTTTATTAGTATATTTTCTTTACACTGGGTCATTTGTAACTTTCATCTTGTTTCTTATCTTTTAGACCTGAAATGGCCAAATATCAGGGTGAAGTTCAAAGTTTGAAACTGGATGATGATTCAGTCATAGAAGGAGTAAGTGACCAAGTACTTGTGGCAGTTGTGGTCAGTTTCGCTTTGATTGCTACCCTGGTATATGCACTTTTCAGGTGAGACTATAGGACAAAAGAGTTGAAATAATATATATTTCTAAGGGTCACTGACTTTCTGACTGCTTCTAGTAATGTTGAATACTTAATGTGAAAAGCAAGTACTCAATCTCAATGATTATATACATTTATGAAGGTGTTTTATTTTCCACTGGGCCCTAAGTGCTACCATACATTTCTCCCGAAGATGTCAGGAGAAATCATCTGTCTTATTTGATAAAATTTAAATTTGTTATCTGTATTTTTGAATAAAATATTAATATTTCTATAGAAGTATCACAGTTTAAAAATGTAATTTTTCATAATTGAATAATAAGTATTATTATATAATCTACAAATTAATAAAGATAATAAGTATACCACCTACAGGTGAAAATAAGTAATATTTTCAGTGTTTAAATGTAAAAACTGATGCCAAAAAAACCTTGTAAGTATAGATGGAATTTAGATTAGAATTAAAATTACTCTTATAGAATCAGAAACCAGCTTACCACAAGACTTTTTAAAACACGCAACACCCGACTATTTAGTCAGGGCATTGACTTCTTTTCTCTTAGCTTGTCAAATTGAAAAAAAAAAAGACAACAGCCAACACAACAATAGCTGTCCGGTGTGAATGAATCAAAATTATACCTATGTTTTTGTCAGATTTGCAAAAAATGTACTTTTTTGGTATGCCTCAGAATTTTGGAAATTAGTTTATATGTACCCTGAGATGAAAAAGGTTGAAAATTGCTGCTATAAACCAATGCACAGAGACGAGGTAATAAACTCGAAATTTAAGTATTAACACATGGAGATAAATATATATCACTGAAAATAGAAATGGGCAAAAAATGTAAAAAATAGAAAAAGATTAATTCCCAAAATTTCAAATCAGTGAGTTTCCTATAAAAATGATAGAAAGGATTATTAAACAGAATGTGAACACTTAGGATAAAATGGTAATTTACTCTTTTATGTCAGCATGATTTTCTCATTAGGGTAACATTATCTTGATTTCAGCAGAGTATTTTACATAGTACCTGGTGACATACTTGTTCATGTAATGGGGAAATGATAGCAAGGTGATAGCAGGTTTAATTCTTAAGTGGTTGACAGGTTGTTCCCAGGATCACTGACTAATGTTTCAATGTAAATCAAAAAAGGAGGACACTGAATTATTGCAGGGCTCTGCCCTTAAGCCTGTCCTACTCATTTCCATTAACAACCTGGTTGAAGGAGTCAAGAGAAGCATTCATATTAAATTGTCAGTTGGGAAGGATAGCTAATGTACTAGTACAGCAGACTCAAGATTTAAAAATGGACCGTCCCATAAATCAATGGTCAACCTGTCTTTGATAATGGTGCCAAGACTTCTCAGAGGGGAAAGATTTCAACAAATGATGTTGGGACAACTAGATAGCCAAATGAAAAGAATGAAGTTGGATCCGTACCACATTATGTGCGAAAATTAACTCAAAATTGGTCAAAGATCTAAATGTAAAAGCTGAAACTTCTCAGAAACACAGGAGTAAGTCATCAGGATTCTTAGATATGACACCAAAAGCATAATCTACAAAAGAAAAGAAATAGGTAAATTGGACCTGATCAAAATGAACAACTATCGTGCTTCAAAGAACATCATCAAAAAGTGAAAGGACGGCCTGCGGAATGGGAGAAAATATTTCATGTATCTGATAAGGCCCTTGTATCTGAATATATGAAGAACTCAAAGCTCAATAATAAAAAGACAAATAACCCAATTAAAAAATAGGCAAAGGATCAGAATAGACATTCTTCCAGAGAAGATTTATGAATGGCCAATAAGTACAGGGACAGATTCCTGACATCATTAATCAAAAGGGAAATGCAGATCAAAACCATAGTGAGTTACAACTTCATACTCACTAGGATGGCTAGACTCAAATAGTCAGTAATAATTGTTATTGAGGATGTGGAGAAATTGGAACCCTTATACATTGCTTGTGGAAATGTAAAAATGGTGCAACCACTTTGGAAAACTGAGTTCCTCAAATGACTAAACATGGTGTAACCATATGACCTAGCAGTTTCATTCTTAGGTATACATACCCATGAGAAATGAAAACATATTTCTATACAAAAACTTGTACAGGAGAGTTCATAGCAGTATTTATTGTTCATAATATCCAAAAGGTACAAAGAGCCTAAATATCCAACAGATGAATGGACAAACAAAATGTGGTATATCCATACAATGGAATATTACTCAGCTATTAAAAGGAATGATAAACTGACACATGTTCCATCACAGATCAAACTTGAAAGCATTGTGCTAAGTACAGTAAGCTAGACACAAAGGCCACATATGAGTCTGTCCACATAAGTGTCCACAATAGGAAAATCTATAGAGATAAAGTAGACTGGTGCTTGCTTAGTACTAGAATGGAAGACAGGGGAGTAGGGGATAATAGCTAAGGGTATAGGTATATTTTTTTTTGAGGTGATGAAAATGTTTTAAAATAGACTGTGGTGATCGATTATATCTCAAAGCTGTTTTAAAAATGGGTAATGACTAGATAAATACAAATAAAATGTCCTTTACCTGTTAAGGAGGGGATGTAGGTAAAAATTTATTGTCATCTGAAGGTATCTATGATAAATTGTTGAGTGAGAATTTTTAAGTAAAAGACCAATCATAAAACCACAAGTAGCTCATTTTACTAAAATTATTTTTATACAATTAATCCTGTTTTAAAATATTTTTATTTTCCTTTATTTGTTTCTCTGACTTACTTACTATGGATACTTGTTATTAGTATAATAAAGATGTGAAGCCAAACTAAAAGTTTATATTTAATAAAGCAATCGTATATTGCAGGTGCCAAAACAGAATAACATTAGGCTGCATTAATCAAAATAACCAGATGAAGTTCATTTTGGATTATATCCTGTTTGAGTCAAGAATTTTAGACTGGAAAAAATTCAGAGTAGGTTATCAGAATAGGTAAAGCTGTGGAAACATAAAAATGCTTGAAGGAACTGGGGATATCTAGCTCGGGAAGAGAGTATAAGGCATAAAAACTGTCTTTAAATATGAGGGCTAGTTTTGTTAAAGAAAAATTAGGTTTATTCTGTGTGCTTCATGGACAGAACCAGGGTGTCAAGGAAAAATCTGGTTCTTCCCTTCTGTGTGTGTCTCCTTTACTTTTACACAGCATACTTCACTTCCAGCCACCAAATGTGTGGAGGTAAAGACCCCATACCGAACAGTTCTTCATGACACCAGCTGGGTCTCTTAAAACTTAACTCAACTCTGACACCATCTGCCTGAGGATAGCATTACATCCCACAGGTTAAGGACCTAGTCCCAAAAGACTGCTCCCTAACCACAAGTAGTAGGTCTCCAGGTTACCCACAGTCCTGAGTTCTGATTTGGCTACAGATCAGGGGTTTCCATGACCTCCTCCTCAGATTCAATTAATTTGCTAGAGTGATTCACAGAACTCAGGGAAACATGTTTACCAATTCATTAAAGAGTATGATAAAGGATACAGATGAAGGGATACATAGGGTGAAGTCTGGGAGGGTCCTGACCGCAGGAGCATCTGAGCTCTAGGGTTCCTCACCCTCCTGGTGTGTGTTCTCATCCTGGAACCTCCCTGGACCCCTTACATTGGGATTTTATGGAGCCCTCCTCCCGGAGGCATGGTCAGTTATGTTTCCATTTCTAGCCCCTCCCGCTTCTCTGGAGAACATGGCATGGAGCTGAAAATTTCAGGCTTCTAATCATGGCTTAGTCTTTCTGGTGACTAGTTCTCATCCAGGAGCCATTCAAGAGCCCACCCAGGGCCACCTCTTTAGAACCAAAGACATGACTATCCCCCAGGAAATTATAAGCATTTCAGGAACCCGTTGTCAGGACTCAGGGTCTAAGGCCAAATACTGGAATAAAAGATGCTACTGGTGTCCTTATCACTTAAGCAACTACAAGGGTTTCAGGAACTCTGCCGGGACTCTTGAAGAGACCAATATATATATTTTCTGTTATCACACAGGGCCAGTATAAGGAGATAACTGATGAGAGTTTTGGCTGAACTTAAGATACAACTTTTCAAATTATATAAGGTGGCCCCCATTACTTGGACATTATCTTAAATTTGTCATATGACTGGGTGGGAGGTCAGTTTAAGTTCCTTTCCAGCTCTTTAGATTCAAATTCAGTTGGCAGTTGAAGTCTTGTTACTCAACTGAAGTAATCAATTAGTGATAAGTTGAGGGAGGGATAGCATGTATAATTTAAAATTCAAGCAAAGAAACATTTTGCCTTTTTTCTGTAGTTTATAACTTTTTATGTTATAGGGAAAATATATATATTAAATTTATCATTTTAAGTATACAATTCAGTAGCATTAATTATATTCTCAATGTCATATAACCATCACCACTGTCTATTATATATATTAAATTTGTCATTTTAAGTATACAATTCAGTAGAATTAATTATATTCTCAATGTCATATAACCATCACCACTATTTCTAGAACTTTCTCATTATTCCAAACACAAACTCTACCAATTAAACAATAACTCCCCACTCTTCCTACCAGCTCCTGGTAACCTTTATTTTACCTTCTATCTCCATGAATTAGGGTATTCTATGTATTTCATAAAGTATAATTCCACAGTCTGTGTCCATTTATGTCCAGTTTCACTTAGCATAATGCACTTAAGGCCCATATATGCTGTAGCATGTATAAGAATTTCATTCCTTTTTATGACTAAATAGTATTCCATTGTAGTGTGTATGTGTGTGTGTGTATGGTATATATACATATATACCATATTTTATCTATCCATTGATGGGTATTTGGGTTGTTCTTATACTTTGTTGTGAATGATCTACTGTAAACATTGGTATACAAAGTATCTCTTTTTAAAATTTATTTTAACTTTTGAAAGAAGGGAAGGGAGGGCGAAAGAGAGGGAAAGAAACATCGATGTGGGAGAGAAACATCAATTGGTTGTGTCTCGTACTCACCTTGACTAGGGATGAACCCACCACCTAGGCCTGCGCCCTGTAATCAAATGGGCAGCCCTTTGCTTTCCCAGATGACACCCAACTAACTGAACCACACTGGTCAGGGCCAGCGTATCTCTATTGAGTCCTTGCTTTCCATCAGAATTGATGGATTGTATGGTAATTCTATAAGTTTTTGAGGCACCTCCAATCTGTTTTTCACAGCAGCTGCCCCATTTTGCATTCCCACAGTAATGCACAAGGGTTCCAATTTCTCTGCATCATTACCAACACTTATTACTTTCTGAGTTTTTCGATAATAGTCATTGTAATGGGTATGAAGTATATCTCATTATGGTTTTGATTTGCATTTCACTAATGACTAATGATGTTGAGTTTATAATGAGCCATGTTCATTGACTATTTGTATGATTTCTTTGGAGAAATGTCTATTCCAAGTCCTTTGCCCATCTTTGAATTGGGTTGTTTGCTTTTTGTTTTTCAGTTATAAGAGTTCTTTTTGTATTCTGGCAGTAATCACTTATCAAATACATGACTTAGGAATATTTTATTCCTGGATGAGGAGGTGAAGCTCCTCAAGAAGATGGGCAAACACCTGACTAACATACACAGGCTGGGCGGCCCCCAGGCTGGGATGGGAGAGCATGTCTTCGAAAGGCTCACCCTCAGGCACGACTAGGAAGCCTTTGGAGCCCAGAGGCCTTTGAGGGGCCCTTTGGCATTTCCCTGGTGTCCAGCTTTTGCCTGAGCCTGATAACCCTGAAACCCCACCCTGGAACCCTCTCCCATGCATTGGACCAAATGGAAATAATAAAGCTTTTTGCAGCAAAAAAAATAATAAATAAATAAAAGAAAGAAATATTTTATTCCATTTGGTTCATTGTCTTTTTATGTTCTTGACAGTGTCTTTTGATGCATGAAAGTTTTAATTTTGATGGAAAGTAATGAAAAGACCTTCCAGTCGCCTGGTGTACATCTGTACTCTGAAAAGCAAGGACTGTCATCTCCTGATGAAAAAGGAGTGGCTTTCCATTGTCAAAGAACAGAGAAATGCCATTTAGTAAGGTCTTCACTGGTATTAAATGAGACGGCTCCTCTGCTGTTCCTTGATAGATTGTTTTCACCACAGAGTAGCTTTCTTTCAGAAATCATTTATTCAGTCACAAGATGTAGTACTTTCAAACTAATAATCCACCAGAAATAAATAAGGGGCTTAAACAGAGTTCAAGTAGTCCCATTTCATATATGTTGAACTTCTGATTATTTGACTTTAAATTGTTTTTATGTCCTCTCTGAACCGATGGTCATATTTTATCAGCTTTCTTTTCTAAAATTTGAATTTTTTACTAAAACTTGAATAACTGTAGGATGGATTTCTTTAATTTTCCCTATCCCATTAGGATATTAATTTAGTATTCTTATTGCTGTTGGATATTGGTTCACTCAGAGAGTAAAGGCTCCTCTGTAGAGTAATATTGGGATTGTGTGGACTTAAAATATTGCTGTTGAAGAGGTTTCAGTTTAGAAAAATTTATACGGTCAAGTGAAACTAAGCTGTGATTTAGATGTGAATCTTCATCCCCACCCTACCATCCTAAACATCACTTCTAATTTTCAATATTCACATGTCTTTTCCCGTCCTATTTTATCCGTCACTATCTTCTTGTCTTTCATTTTCCATTGTATTTATCAATGTTAAGATAGTAGTGGTATGTTAGCTTTTGGCATTTCTACATTATATAATTTTAGCTTTTGTTTTTCTCTGTCCCCCTATCCTCATGGGTAAAAAGTTGGGAGAGGACCTAATTAGATATGGAAAAGTGTTCAAATGCATAATAACATATAGAATTATATAGCTACTTATTTGGAAGAAATTGTACAAAAGAATTGAATATGTTAATAGTTCTTTTATTATTTGTAAGTCTGCAATTACATTAAATCCCCAAAGTGCTATGTCTCTGGACTTCATCATTTGCCAGTTAAACCTGAAACGAGCCAATAATCAATGACCTCAGAACAGCCTGGAATTGGAGTAGAGTTATATACCATCATTTACATGTATTTAGTTACCAGTAGTTCTAGGTAACATTTTTTTAGGTAAAAAAATTAGACTCATAAAGAACATTGAGTCATCTGACAATATTTTATATTGAAAGCTTATTATATTTTATTCAACAGAAATGCACATCAAAACATTCACCCAGAAAACCAAGAACTAATAAGAGTGCTTCGGGAACAACTTCAAACAGAACAGGTACTGTTTGTGTAAACATGTACTTTTATGTAAGAAGTAGATGTCATTACTCCCCTTGTTTATGAAATTGTGGTGAAATATTAATCGATTACTTTGTGGAAACACGGGCTTCTTTCCTGCTTTAAATGACCTTAAATTATGCTATCGATTATTTATTTGCAGGTTAGGCAAATGACTAGTCTTAATCTATTCAGGTGTTTTCATATTTTTTTTTAAACTTTCTTTTAAAGACAACAGTTTTTCTATTATTTACTTGTAAGGAAATAATCATTGTCTAAATTGGCTTGAGCGAAATGTCGTGGAAAAACTATTCTAACATATATATCCCAAGGACCTATAAAGAAATGACTATAAAGGTAGCTTTTTTTTCTTTTCTTTTTCTTCAGTGGCCAAAGATAAGAAAACTAGTTAGGCAAAAAAGAAAATTTTTCTCATCTGCTGCTTCTTTGCTTTTAACCAGATGGACTCTATAAGAACCAGCAATGTAATACATTTTATGAAGGCTGGGTTAAGTAGGATATCATATACCTTCAGGCCAGGATAGCTAACATCAAGAAACAAAATTAAAAAATTGATTTTCTAACCACCAATCAAACTTTAATGCCAAAGAAGGTTTTACCCATATCATTTATCTATTTACCAAATATTTATTGAAAATCTACCATATTCCAGACAGTGTTGGGATTGGGAATTCAGTTGTCAACTAAACCAACAAGAATTCCTGCATCATAGAACTTAAATTCACTGATGCAAAAACAGTTTAAGCATGTTAGTAGTACTCTCTTCCAGAGTGATTGTTATCAGTAATTCATGCCTGGATAGCATTTAATAATTTACAAAATGATTTCACTTACTGCTCTTATTTAATCTTCAAATATAGTAAGTAAAGCAATGACTATTATCCTCTTCTAACATATTAGTTCACTAAGATTTTCTTAAATTCATGCTAGGATTACGTGACTAGATCTAGATACACAGAAGTCTCAGGGGGATCTTCCAGGTGTACCACTGTCCCACTCACCTACCTCCTACCTTCCTCACCATGTGTATAGCTCTAGTGAGAATAAAGCTAGTTAGCCTACACCGTGCTGTCCTATATGGTTCTCACTAGCCACACATAGTTATTTAGTTTTAAATTAACTAAAATTTAAAATTCAGTACTTTAGTCACATTAGCTACTTTTCAGGTACTCATTAGGCAAGTGGCTACCATATTGGACAACACGGACAAAGAAAATTCCTGTCATTGCATACAGTTCTGTTGGACAGCACTGGTAATTGGTTGTTCATCAGTTAATTTCCAAAGAACAATAATGAAGAGAAAAAGTAGAGAGGGGAACATTAAGTGCTGTATGTTTTTCTTTTTGCACCATTAAAAAAATGACATAAAAGACTACAACATCGAGGTGTAACCTTGGCTTATAGAATCTTCTGGTATTTTAGAACTGTTTTAGGACAGGGGATTTATTTTTAATTTGTGGTAGCCACAGTCTTTGATTTACTTTATAATAGTTCATATTTAGTGAATTTGGTACTTTTTATTTTGGTAATTTTTTGTTTTTAAAATTTTTATTTTTATTTTTTAAGATTTTATTTATTTATTTTTAGACAGAGGGGAAAGGATGGAGAAAGAGAGGGAGAGAAACAGCAATGTGTGGTTGCCTCTTGCGCAACCCCCACTGGGGACCTGGGCTGCATCCCAGACATGTGTCCTGACCAGGAACCGAACTGGCAACCTTTGGTTTGCAGGCCGGTGCTCAGTCCCGAGCCACACCAGCCAGGGCTTAATTTTTTATTTATTGATGCTCAGAGAGAGGGAGGAAGGAAGAAAGAGAAAGAGAGAGAGAAATATCTAATTGTTGTTCCACTTATTTATGCATTCATTTGTAATTCTTGTATGTGCCCTGACCAGGGATCATACCTGCACCTTTGGTATATTGGAACTACACTAACCAACTGAGCTACCTGGCTAGAGCAGTAATATGATGTTTTTATTTTATTTTATTTTATTATTTTATTTTATTTTATTTTATTTTTAATTGCTGTTCAATTACAGTTGTCCCCATTTTTCCCCTTTACCTTTCCCTGCCCTAGCCCACCCCCTGTAATTTGATGTTTTCAGTGTCAGCTACTTTGTTTATAACATGTGTGTCAGGTACTATAAAAACTTTTGATGAGTATTTAAAGATATGCATTTTATAGTAGTAATAAATAATCTTTTAGTTCCTGGGATCCTACTGCAGTGAGTCCTATAGATAAAGTCCTTGTCCTCATTGCAGTCACATTCTGGTGGGTTCTTTGATAGCTGGATGCCTCTTTTACTGATGATTTTACTCAACATGCTTATTACAGTCAAAACAGTGATGTTTACTGAGAAACAGTAAAATTTACTAATAGGATTATGTGAAGTATTAAGTTCAAATTAGTAGTGGCTTTACATTTTTCTACTTCCAAAATGACCAAATAATCTCTGAAAGTTTAATTCTGGTTTCTTGTAAGGTATAGCATACATGTAACACTTGCCAGGAATGTATGAATGACAAAGGTGTTAAAAATGGAAAAAAAAGTTAATAAAAGCTCAGAAACAGTTTGACATTTCTTATTATTTAGTTATGGATTAGCTCAGCCTTGTGTTACTCATAATAACTTCCTCTGTTTTTATCTTTAGATTGTGTTCAGAAAGGAAGGTAGTGACCATATAGTTTATAAATAAAACCACAATATAGCCTCATGACTGTATCCAACTTGTAAGACCTTAAACTGTTGCAAGTCTCAACTCTGATGAGGATTACACAGTATTGACTGCATTCTCAACTACAGTTTACCAGAAAGATCGCTTTGACAAGCTGTGTGTCGTGTATAACTGTGTACACGTATTTTCTCGCCAGGATGCCCCTGCTGCTGCTCGACAGCAGTTTTACACCGACATGCACTGTCCAATCTGTTTACATCAAGCCTCCTGCCCTGTGGAGACAAACTGTGGACATCTCTTCTGCGGTAAGCAAACAGCGCTGTGCTTGGTAATAGCGACTCTTTGCACCAAGACCCATGTGTCTACGCAGGCTGGGTTCTTGATTTTCTCTTGGTCATATTTGGTGTTTCAGGAGTAGTGTAGATTGCTCCTGATACCCTGCTCTACTTATCAGCCACTTTTATTTAGTGTCTGTGGGTTCAAAGATTTAAAAAACTAGTTATTCAACTTCTTAATATACAGAAATGTGTTTCTCTGAATAGTAATTCAGGTACATCTATACCTTGTGGATTGACTGGTTCATTATTCTTTCACTTTTTAGTCCTTTCATTTGTTATTCAACCTTCCCAAGGCAGGAAGTTTTTTCCTCTCAAGGACCCTGCCCAGGGCCATCTCTTAGCTCTGCTAACTCTTCCTTACTCTGAGTCAGTGCAGAAGTTCTTAGACTCTTTCTCTTCATGACCTCAAGAGGGTTGGTGATGGAGAATGAGAAACCTAGAGTGTACAGTGGAACAAAAAAGGGAACATTGATTTCACTCACACTTATTTAGTGTCAGTACAGGGTGCTTTCTACCCTCCAGAAAGATTTCATAGAAAATAATGAGATACCATCTAGTGATTGCTTGTTATGGTCATATGAGATTGGGGAGAGTGAGTTCTTACACACTTAACATACTTCATCTCATCTAACCCCACAAAATCAAGGCTCAGATATGTTAAGAAATTTTACAAAGGGTAATCTAGTTGCCAAGGGACAGAGGCAGGTTTTAAACCTAGGTCTAACTTCAAACCCTGTGTTCAGTTCTACTCTTTGATTGCTGGCTTATACAACTACCCTCTACTTAAGATTTATCCAATGTTTTGTTGTAGTATTTCTTTGTATTTGAACAGCTATATTTAAGATAGGTTCCCCACATGCACACCATTTCCATGTAAAGACTAATTAGAAATGGAGCATACAATGATCCTATAAATTACTTTTGTCTAAGATTCATTATATAGAATTCTTAGGTATATAGTGTTACTGTTTGTGCTGTTGGGGATGACATACATGTTTGAAATCCAGGATTTTCAGTACCTTGTGCTCATTAAGTAACTACTGACCAACCCCACTATTGCCTCAGCTAGTCTTTCCACCCTCTTTCCTAAGCTTTTTGCCTAAGTAGCTAACAAATTATAAATATCTGTTGGAAATGCTAATGAGGAGCAAAATAATGAAAGATCAGATAGGGAGAATTAAATGGCCATCAGAGAAAGCAGATACTTCCCCCCACCCTCAAACCTCTGGTAGATATTCCTAATCAGTTGGACACTGAGCCTGATGTGGACCCAACCATCCTGCAGGATGTGAATCATTGAGGTTTGGCAGGCAAGGTGAACTCTATTTGCCAACCCAGGCTTAAGTAATTCACTGAGTGGATAACCCAGTCAATTGAAAGATGGCTGTATTGTGTTCTTGGTTTTACCTTTGGGTCTGAGGTAATAGGGTAGATTGCTTCTGATATCCTGCTCTACTTGTCAAGACACTTTTATTTACTGTCTGTTGGTTCAGAGGTTAAAAAAAACTAGTTATTCAACTTCTCAGAAACAGAAGTTTGTGTCTTTGAATAGTATTTAAGTATATTGATACCACGTATATCAAGAGCATTTTAGCTCAGTTCCTATATACAGAACTAGTCAGCCCTTCATAGTGAGTTAAGAATAATGCAGCAATAGACTTCACCCTATTGGCAGTCATAGTTCTCATAATTTTATTTAATTCTCCAGCAGTCTTATGAGGTCTCATTCCCATTTTACAAATAAACAAATTTAGAGAAATTGTGACTCAAGTTAAAGTCACTGAGTCATCTCTCCTACCATCCTGTGTAGGTGGATCTCTCTTTTTAAAGAGGGGAAAGTTGAGGATAAGGAAAAGCATCAAGCATGTCCTAGCAGGTGAACTGAAGTGTCTAATTTGCTGGACCGTAGTTTCTCAGTGTAGGCAAGTGGCTGTTATATAATTTGCAAAGCAAAGACACCTATACCCCAATTTGTGTAAAAGAGATGTGAGATTAAATAAGTTCATATGTGTCAAAACACATTGAACTTTTGGATTAGAAGGTATTAGATAAATCTAAGGCATCTTTACAAGTGGTAATAATACTAACAGATTTATAATAAGTTTTGTTTTCATATAGTTTCTATATGAAATTAGATTGCTCAAAGTACTTAATATTATCTAATTAACACAGCACTCTGAGAGTAGGGAAAAATATCAGAAAAAGATTGTTTAGCTTTTTAATTCATCATTAAATTGTTGAACCAGTTTTCCCCATAGACACTGTAATGTCCAATTTGGACAGCCTTTGCTTAGCCCATCAGTTTGCTTACCAGTCTCCTCACTTACCATCTATTTTTGCCTTTGGCGTTCACTCCTGCTGTTCATAAAACCTGGAGTGTCCTCCCTCCTGAATTCTGTCTATCTAAATTTTTGCTATCCTACAGTGTTCAAATACTCTCCTTTGCAGATTACTCTAGAACACATCCCAGAGAATTCTCCCTCTCTGCACTCCTTTCGTACTTAACATTAAACAGTTCAAGATCTAACTACAGTCTGATTGATTTAAGTATGTGTCACCTTGACTTTCCTCACTTTGCCATCGTTTCTTCTGAATTCTGGACATTTATTTGATCTGGAAGAATCAGAATAAGGAGCATAGGAGAGCTAAGCTAGTTTGCTAAAGCAAGAGGAGGAACACAGAAAATCCCGGAGGTAGGAGGGAAACAGGAAGCACTTAGTTCAGATTCACAGTGAAACCTGGATGGTCTGAGAAACAGTTTTTCTGAGGAGAGGAAGATAAATTGGTCCCTTAAACATCAGACACTGTCTAAAATTTTTTCTTCTTCATTTGTTTCTGGTCTAAAATTTAGTGCTTCCACACTTAGCTCATCTACTACTGCCTGAGGTCTTCCTTTAGGCTGTGTGTACTTAAGTAACGTGGCTCTCTACACTCCTAAAAAAGTAATTGTGTTTTTGTAACATATGTAATTTTGAATAGAAAATTTAGACTGTGATTTGTTGGTGTCATTTATACAATGATGTTTTATTTATTTTACATGAGAAATGCATTATATTCTAGTAAGCTTCACAGCATTGAAGCAATTAATGCATGCTTGGTTTTGTCTTAAAATATCTGTATATTCACTGGTAGTTTAAATAAAAATGTTTTTCAATAGCCAGGAATTGTTATTAGATTTAGATTTGCCTGAAGAGATGCTGGATAAAGTAAAAAAAAAAAATTAATCAGGTGATAGTGTTAAAATATTTCAAATATTTAAAACATCAGCATTAATTTTTTTTCCCCATCAGGTACCTGCATTATTGCGTACTGGCGATATGGTTCATGGCTTGGGGCCATCAGTTGTCCAATCTGTAGACAAACGGTAATGTTTGTATCCAGAAGGCATCATAAATGCTAGTTCACTTTGTAAATCTTCTAGTTTCTGTATCTGACTTCTGAATTATTTTGATATTTTTAACAGAATTTCCTTTATCCAAAGCTTCTGTAATGTTATATTATTTCTTTAATGTCTTTAAGACACCTCAAAAAAGGGAATTTCTTTTGAAATCTTTCGGTTGTAGGAAAAACAAATGATAAATGAACCAACCCTCTCCCAAACTCTCTAAAGTCTTTGTTGTAATACCAGCAAAGGAATAACTGAACTAGCTGGTCAGGTTTAAGCAAATATCCCCTATACTACTTTTGAAAAAAATTGTTTTTCCTTTTTAATTTATTTTTAACGTGCCTTTTCCAGATAGCTTTAAATAATGAATAATAATTTTTAAATGTCTTTTTTGAAATATAATCACATTGAATTATCCAGAACAGATTTGACCATTGTAGTGAGTCTAGAAGCTACCTGAGGACATAGGCAGTAAGTTTTTACAAACATATGAAAGACTGAAATGCCAGCACAGATGGGATTGCCACATTTCTCAATTTCTTTGACAAGCTGGAAAAAGCAGAATACTAAAAAATCTGAGGAATTGAAGTTCTTAGTTTTTTTAATTAGTAAGTATAGCAAAGTAAAACATTCTCTCAGCTGTGTGTAGTTTTTCATAATTTCCTTTATAGTTATTTTATTTTCCAGTTAAATTAAAAATATACACCTTTCTGATCATGAGTTATGAGCATGTAAAAAGACAGTATCTCCTCAGGAAGTCTTCCAGTGAGCAAAATAAAGTCCTAAAATGGACAGTCTCCAAGTGAGCATGTCAGCTTGGATGCTCCCTCGTACAACGTCACTAAAATAACGGTAGAGGGCATTGTATACAGGCATACCCGCAGAGACCAAAAAGTAAAACAAAATGGTAGAAGAGGTGACAATTTTTCAAAAATTCTTTGTAAAATATAATGGACACACAGAAAAGCACACAAAACAGAGAAGTGCAGTTCACTGAATTATCACAAAGCAACACTTGAATAATCACCACTCAGATGAAGAAACAGAAACTGGCCATCAGCCCCAGAAGCCTCCTCAGGACCCCACCCAAATCTTCACTCCTCCTTTGTCTCCTGTAGGTAATTTCTATTTCACTTTTATGATAAGCATTTCCTTGATTTTCTTTATAGTTTTATTACCTTGGTATACACCTCTAAGATTGTTTAGTTTTGTCTGATTTTTAGGTTTTATGTTAAATACACACACACAGATATACGGGGGTGAGCAAAAGTAGGTTTATTTACAGACAGTAAGACAATAATTAATAATACAATAATAGTAATAATAATAATAATACAAGAATAAACTCTTTCATGTGTTCACAACTGTAAACTGACTTTTGCCCACTCCTATATGCCTTTCAGCCTTGTTCTTGCTACCTACTTCCCCCCATCACTACCTTTTTCTCTTGGTGTAGAAGGTTCAGGGCTTTCTCTTCTTCCTTCTACATTCCCAAATTCTGTCTCTTTCACATTTGACTCTTTATCACGTGGTCAGGAGGAAGTACTGTTTTGGGGTTTTTTTTGTACTGCCTCTCTGGATGATTTTATATGTGGCACAAAGCAGTCAACGCTAAAACTTATTTGCCACCACCACCTCTCATCATCTTTAGCTGTCTGCCAGCCACACTGAGCCCAGGCCTAGGCCTTGCGTTAAAGACTTAGTTTCACCGAAGGTGTGGAAGTGGAGTATCCCCAGTGGTCTCACAGAGGTGTCCAACCTTCAGCCCAGGGGCCACATGCAGCCCAGGATGGCTGTGAATGTAGCCTAACACAAAATCATAGATTTACTTAAAACATTATGTAAAAAAAAACCCAAAAACTGTTTTTGTGATTAGGTGTTACAATGTATTTAATGTGTGCCTTCAGACAACTCTTATTCTTCCATTGGGGCCCAGAGATGCCAAGACATTGGACACCCCTGCAAGGCAACATGGCCATGCCTACCCCTTGATACTAGGATTTCTGACCTCCCAAATAAGATGATACATTTGTCTTGTTTTCAGCCACTGAGTTTATGATGACTTGTTACAGCAGCATTTGGAAACTAGTATAATTGTCTTTGCAATTTTTTATTTCTCACTCTGAAAATTTCCCCAAATTTCAGAACTGACTTCTCAGTCATCTTCTAGACATCTCTACTTGGGTATTTCACCAGCATCTTAAATTCAACTAGTCCAAAATTAAAATTATTATCTTTCTCAAAAAAAAAAAACCCCAAAAAAGAATTAGTTCCACTACCCGCGCTTTTCATAGGGTATGTATAAATTTATCAGGTGGTATCCTTTGGACCACCTATAAATTGGGTAGAGGCTAGAAAGGTGAAGATGAAGTTGTTTTAATATGGTAGCTTTTGGTTTTCTAACTGTGGAGCAGTTCATCTGGAGGCAAGACAGGTGTCAGACACCTGCCTCCCCTCCTGTTTCACTGGCAATAGTGACGCACAGGCTGACGTCTCTGATTAGGACACACACACCACTTCCCTCCATGAATGCATGCACCAACACACCAACCTGCATTTCAAGGGCTGGCTTCAGTTTCAAGTTTTCTGAACACCCGAGGGAGGAGTCCTTACTTTGAAGTATCATTAAAGCACCTTAGATCCGGATGTTGCACAGGTCTGCCTCCCTTCTCTCGTGTGACTGTGATCACCAACAGGCAAGGCCATGTCTTTAATTGTATTTTATTTTTTTCCCCCACTGCTGCTATTTTATTTTTAAAATTTTATTTGTATATCCAGCACTTAGCACAGTGCCTTGTCCACAGCAGGTGCTCAGTTAATACTTACTGAAAGAATGCATTTTTATTAACAAATGCATGGAGAGGCAACAGTATGTGCACTCCTTTGTTTTGGCTGCTTGGACAGCATCTGAGAAATGGGCATTCCTGATTTGACAGCTGAACTGAGGAAGGGCTAAAGCAACAGCTAGAGGATTTAACCCTAAATCTGTCCATTTTCCTCCCCATCTCCATCTCATTGTACAGTGACCGTTTCTGTCGGGGCTTTTCGTGGTCTGTTGTCTTCAGATTACCCGAATGTGGCCCTGGGACATTTGTGTATCCTTACCACTACCATGGAGGAAAAAGGGTTTAATGTACATAACATGTAACAGTATTAAGAATTACCTTTTTTGTACAGCAAATAAGAAACATAATTGGTTGGTATAAAATGGACAGAGGGAGGTTAAGAATCGAGTAGGAAACAAAGAAGCCAAAGAACTTATATGGACAACCCATGGACATGAACTGGGGGATGGGGGAGGTGCAGGGTGGAGGGGGATAAAGGGGAGTAAAAATATTGGGACAACTGTAATAGCATAATTAATAAAATATACTTAAAAAAGAAATCAGTCAGAAAAAGACAAAAAAATTACCTTTTTTGACTATAATAGGGCCAGGTGCTTGAGAGCCAGTCCTTGCATTAAGTTGACGTCTGTGTGACGGTTGCTAATATCTAAAGATATTTCAAATAGCAGCGACTTTGCTCCTGAGTGTTTTCTCATCATTCTTGTATCTTGAACTGTAGAGAGTTACTGACTTTCTCCCTGATGTGAACTGGAAAATACTAGAACCAGTGTCTGGATAACATGCCCCTTTAATTTTATAGATGCTCAAATTACATTTGCATTGGATTGCATTGTAGGCAGTAATCTTCCTTTCCTCCCCTGTGTTGCCTTAATTAAAGAAAATGAGTGAAATATAAATTCCGAAGATTTCCTTGTTTTATTGAATAACACAAAATGAAAAGACTAATGCTGCAGAAAGGTATAACAATTTTTCTTTCTATATTAAACAGGTAACTTTACTGCTACCAGTATTTAGTGACCATGACCAGTCTCAGGATGTTGTATCGTTGCATCAAGATATTAATGATTATAACCGGAGATTCTCAGGGCAGCCCAGATCTGTAAGTAAAGTTACAGCAGGTACAAAGCTAGAGGGAACACAGTTACAGTATAATGACACTTCTCTTTTGTGGAGTGAGATTTACCAACAAATATTCTTCGACTGTGAGAAACCTCACTGTCCATGTGTGTGGGGTGAAGTCCTTCCTTCCATCATCATTGTCATTCACTGAGTTACAGCTTCCCCAAGGACTGCAGTGTTTCTATCTTAAAAAAAAAAAAAAAGGTATTGTAAAAGTCATTTATGAAGAGGTGCCAGCAAAAAATCAATAGGAAAAATCTGAGGTAAAGATAAAATTATCAACTCCTATGTGATTCTAAAATAGGGTTTGATTTTATGAGAAACACCAGAGAACTTCTGGAGAGCGTTTTACAATTCTGTTTTACTCTAAGTTATTTCCCTTGGCCCCTGTTTGAAATGTTTTCTTAAGTAACCCTGTGTGTCCTCTTAGCTATTCAAATTACTCTTTTTAATAACATTAATTCTACAGTTGACCCCAACCCTAAAAAAGGCATTTGGTAGATTGAAAACTGTCACATTTTATTATCTCATCCCAGTTTTATTAAAATAGAGCAAGAAATTCTACAAGTATGTGTATGGCTGGATATGTATTTCAAAAACCAGAATACACTGAGTACAAATTTAGTAGGCAGAAAGCCCAGACTCTCCCCTGAGCTCTAGACTTTATATCCAACTGCTTAGGGTACAATATCTCCACTTGGATGCCCCCTAGTCCTTTCAAACTTAACCTGTATAACGTGAAACTGATCCCCTTCCCCCAGCATAGGGGCTCTTTCTGAGCTCCTCCTCTCCTCCATTCTCCTCATCTGATCTATAAGTAGGTTGTACCATTCCTTTTCTTTTTTGGGCGGGGGGGAGGGGTCCTATCATTTTTACCTTATAAAAATGTCCCGTGTCTGTAGAGCCATCGTATCAGTCAAAGTCACTATCATCTCAGCTTAGGTCACTTGCCATGGCCTCCTCACTTTGACTTTGTTCTCTGCGTGGCAATCCAAGTGGTATTTTGAAAATAAGGCCGTGATGCTCTTGGGTTTTAAAACTTGCCATTTTTGGAATAATTTGGAATAATGGGCCAGCTCTTTATTGTGGCTTACAAGGCCCTGCTTGACCTGGCCCCCGCCCCCCAACATCTTGTGCCACTCTCCCCCTGCCCCACCACACCTCAGCCACACTGGCCTTTCGGCTCTCAGAAAAGCTCCAAGTCTTTCCACATATGCCTTTACCTGTGCCATTTCCTGTTTGGAACGCTTGTCGCTCTGCTCTCCTCATGGGTGATTCTCATCCTTTAGGTAGTTCTGAGATAAGCCTTCCCCCAGAGGCTTTCCCCAACAGCCTAGGTGTTCTCCATTATTGCCCTCTGCACGTTTTCTGCCCAGCATCTGTCACAAACAGTGCTCAAACCTAGTTCCCTGGCTTGCTCTCCATAGGCTAACAGCACCGTGAGAGCAAAGACCGTGTATTTTAGTCAGTACCAAATTCTCATCGTGAAATTTGGTGTCTGGAATGTAGTAGGCCCTCAGCGTGTGCTGAGTCAATTTATAAACTATTCTTGAGGTAAGAACTGATACTGTTGCTCTCAGCCAAGGCTATAAGCTATTAGAATATTTTAGTAGCACACAGCCATGCTCTGTGCTCCTTTGCTTGTATTCCTCATTCTGTAATGTCATGAACATTTAAAGGTAGTTTCATCTGTTGTGAATGATAATGGGTGAATCTTTTAGATGTGTAAGCAAAAGGGGAACGTAACCCAGCCACTGTTGTCTTCCATAGCTACTCGATCCAGCCATTTCGTAACACACCCTCCAGTGACGGCCGTAGTGAGCCACTGGAAATCAGGGTTTCCAGTTCAAGATCTGCCACTGACCTTGAAGATGATAATAATAATTTTAAGATATTCATTCATATATTTAAGTGTGAAGCATACCATTGCTCAGTTCTTATTTTTGTGTGTCAAATTTATAGTTAACAAGTAAGAAAGCTTAGTATGTGATGATGTTACAATATAATAAAGACAGTTAGCTCTTTGATATTCTACCTCAAAGTTAGAGTAAGATTGTGATTAATACACAAACATTTCTTAATAGCTCATTTCATATTTCTTGTCTAATTATAGATTTTATAAATACCACATGAGCAGTAACAAATAGCTAATAATGGACAGAAAATTATTCTTAGAATATTTAAAGTAATTTACCATTGACCTTGTGAAAACTGTGTAGCTGTTTTGCTTTAAATATTAGTTTCTTCCATAGAGAATAGGAAGTTAATAAAGGAAATGACTCTAAAAAGACCATTTTTGTTCATTTGTGGCTAGTCTTCCAAAAGGAGTTACAAGATTTTCTTTACATTGCATTTTTAAAACTGTTTTCTCATCACTTGCTCAGTTCCCATTTTTTGTCTCCATCTTCCTCAATTTATTTGGCATTTGTTAAATCAATAAATATATACACAGAGTTGGATCTATGCTATTTATACAGACTCTTAAAAATAGCTGAACTATGGGCAGTGGAAGACCACAGGAAGTGATTCCCTTCCTCCAGTCAGTTTGTCTTGTATCTGCCAACTTCTGAAAAGTAAGATATGTTGAAGAGTCATGGCGGGTCATCACTACACGGGAGCTAAGATCGTGTGGCCAGCGAACAGCTCCGCAGAACAAATGAGAAGTCCGCAGTCAGAGAGTAGCTGACCTGCTCGTGGTCATACAAATCAGAGTGGGGCAGAAGTGGGTTTACGGTTGTTCGTATGGAGACGAATACAGTAATGAATTAATAATAATAGAATAAATTTTATTTACTCACAACTGTAAACCTACTTTTGCCCCACCCTGTTAGATATTGGTATTATCTTTTCTTTTTAATAACTTTATTTAGATGTAATTTACATGCCATATGCATGCGCGTTTTAAAGTATACAGGTCAATGATTTATAGTACATTTAGAGTAAATAGAATCTAATTACCATCATGATATAATTTTAGAACATTTCATTCTCCCAAAAGCTTTAGCAGTTCCTCTCCCTCTCCCCCTCTCCCCAGTCCTTGGCACCACTGGTCTACTCTCCATCTCTGTACATGTGGCTCTTTTGGATATCTCATCATTTTATTTGAATGGGATCATACAGTATGTGGCCTTTTGTCTCTGGCTTATTTCACTTGGCATAATGTTTTCAAGGTTCATCCATGTTATAACATACCTCAGTATTGCATTGCTTTTTGTTGTATTTTTTTGTTTTTCAGTTACAGTTGACATACAATATTATATTAGTTTCAGGTGTACCATATGGTGATTATACACTAATGTAACTTACAAAGTGATCGCCCCATAAGTCTAGGACCCATCTGACACCGTACATAATGTCTAGAATATTATTGACTGTGTCACTTATGCTAGTACTTCATTGCTTATTATGGACAAAGCAATCTCATCTTGTTTATCCATTCATGAGTTGATGGACATTTGAGTTGTTTCCGCTTGTAGGCTATGATAAATAATGCTCCCGTTAACTCCTGTACCGGTTTTTAGGTAGATGTATGTTTCATTCCCCTTGGGTATGTGCCTCGCTGTGCAGTAGCGGGATATTGTCGTAACCCTGTGTTTCACATTTTGAGGAACTGCCAGACCGTCTCCTAAGGGGCTCTACATTTGCACCAACAGTGTATGAGGGTGCCAGTGCTCCATATCTTATAATTTTCATTGCTTTCCATATCTGATAATTTTGTAATGTATGTCTTTTTGTTAAAGTTCAGCTGTGAAAATTATGCTCATTTATGTAAAAACTTAGTAATTTATGTGTTTCTGTACCTATTTAGAACTTAATCATTCTCAAGAAAGGTAGTACTTGGCATTCCAAAAATCTTTGTAGCAATTAGGAATTTGCTTAAATTCTAGCTAAGCAGAATAAACATCCTCAGAAGGGATCAGCTTCATTGCTATTCTTAGACTGTCATTAATATTGATGTCTTTAATGTATAATATTTATATATTGTCTGGCAACTTACAAAGGCCATTTATATACAATATCTCTTTCAGTTTTTGAAAGTCCTCCTGGTACATAAATACTCAATTGTTGACTTAACTCTAGTAGGTTAAACAACTTTCCCCAAGGTCACCTGGCTAATAAGTAATTGATTTTGAATTCAAACCCAGATCTGACTTTTCAAAAAATTTTTCTAATATTGTGTTTATTTATTTTTAGAGGGGACAGGAGGCAGAACAGAGAGGGAGAGAAACATCAATGTGTGAGAGGTACATTGATAAATACGCCCACAACTGGTCACCTGGCCTGCAACCCAGGCATGTGCTCTGACGGGGAATTGAACCAGTGATCTTTTGGTTCACAGGCCAGCATTCAATCCACTGATCCACACCAGCCAGGGCCCACCCAGATCTCTCTGACTTTAAAGCTGAGACTTGAGCTCAAGCCTCACCCTAATACTATACAGTAGGTTCTTGATTTTTTCTTTTTTTACTAACTCAAATTAGAAATAACTTGTTTTACATTATTATATGTCCTATAAGTTTGTTGACATTTTAATTGCTTTTCAATTATCTGCAATAAAAAGCCTATTTTATAAGAAGCTAGTAATCAAAGAACTATTTTTAAATAAAATGAATAACTAGAAAAAATGGTCAAACAATAGGTGAAACTTTTTAATTCATGTTAACTTTGCACAATTGTAAGAAAATTATATTATTTTAAAATGTGACACATTAGATGCCAAATCATAATATTTGTTTTTCCCCTACCAGATTATGGAAAGAATTATGGATCTACCCACTTTACTGAGGCATGCATTCAGGGAAATGTTTTCAGTCGGTGGCCTTTTCTGGATGTTCCGTATCAGGATAATACTTTGTTTAATGGGAGCTTTTTTCTATCTTATATCACCTCTAGATTTTGTACCTGAAGCCTTGTTTGGAATTCTGGGCTTTTTAGATGATTTCTTTGTCATTTTTTTGTTGCTTATCTACATCTCTATTATGTATCGAGAAGTGATAACACAGAGACTAAACAGGTGAAAAAAGTTTACTGAAATATGAGCTAATGTGTACAATCAAACAAAAGGAGTCATGGTATCATACAGCGTTAGAATATTATCTTACAAACTGAAGACTGCTGTATGACAGACATTTGATTATTATTTGGCAAATACCTAGCAATATATGACTGGAATTTTTACATGTTGCAGGTTCTGATATTAAGGTTAGAATTATAATAATTTACAACTTTGTCTTGATTGTGTTGTTTGTAAAGTCTCTGGGGAAAAAACATGAAATTATATAAAAAGGGATGCTTTCATATCTTTCTTTTCCCCCAAATTACTCAGATTAATGGGATGTATAGTAAGATAGTATTAAATGTACACTTTACCCATGTTTCCTTCTCAGTGAGCACCTGTAGGATAATATATTGCAATGAGACTCATCTAAATATTTTTGTTAAATAAAATACTACACAGTATCAGGGGAAAAGTGGGTTTTTTTAGTACTAAGTTTTGTGCATTTGGAGCAGTTCTGCTCTTCTATTCTGATATAAGTCTTTGTTATTAGCTGAAAGTGAACAAAGAACCTTGAACTTTATCATTTGATTTCACATTCTGGTTTACAGAACACTGGGAGAGTTAACAAGGTGTAAGACATTTATGTCCAGCCAGCATACTTATGTTCTCAGTATGGCATGTAAACCAGAGTTTGGTCCTTTCATAGGAACAGTGTATTCAAGTAACTTGTAAAAGGAATGTTTTTTCAGAAACCTGGGCAATACTGTAAACAAATAGTAGTTTGATGCATTTCTGAGAAAAGTGGTTTTTCATGGCTTGAGCATCAAAGAGGGTACTAGGAGAGTACTAGGAAGATTTTAAGTTTGACAAGAGGAATTATGGTGAACTAGAGTAACAGAATGGACAACTCTGGTTCGTTTTCTCTTGACAGAAAACTTGTAATGCTGTCCCTAGATGGTGCAGAATGAGCAAATGTCAGACGTGATTCAATAGGAAGGTTACATTGGTTTCTTTTTTTAACTGCTACTGTGTAACGCTCTCTTCTGCAGTTTTGTTTGAAAAGAACCAAAACCACAAGTATTACGAAATCCCAGTTCCCTCAGCTGGCACTACTCATTAGCAAACTGGACAGCAGGAGGTTGTTGATGCCCAGGGCTGCTAGCTCTGTCACCTGATAGTCATATTGTCTATTCACACGCTAGTGAGCCTCCCTATGTATAGACAGGCCAAGAACAAATCTATCGAAGTCTCCCAAATTAGATTAGCCATCGACTGATAAGATGCTGAATAATAATACTGTTTTCTAATTTGGGTCTAGGACAAAGCTGCTGCTTGTTAGAGAGAAAAACAATAATGCTTAAATATAGCACATTATAATTACAGCAGTTTCTCACATACTTTTCATTTTATGCTTAAAACAGTTATGTGAAGAAGGCATGTGTCTTCCTTTTCACAGGTGAAATCCCTGTTACTGGTGACAGGTTTTTGGTTTGTCTGAAACCACCAAGGTATAAGTGACTGAACTGGTATTGTACTCAATAGGACTCCTGCATGGGGTTCAGGTAAATGTGAGGGTTATTGCAAAGAAGCGAAACTAGAGAGAAACCAGGGTCCCTTGGAGTCTTTTGGGACATACTGGAGTAAGATAGCTTAGGTACACTTAAGAAAAAGAAAAGAAGGTCTACAAAGATGACGTATCAAGACTTCACAAATCCTAAATCTGCAGTTCCAAATCAAACATCTAGTAGGGTGGCACACTTCACAGAAAAACATTTCAGCTGCAGCTACCAATTCTAAAAGCTAAGGAGCAGGAATTTGTTATATTAGACTAGAAATACATTTCCTACCAATTGCAAATTTGGTGTGGTGTTAAAATGTCATTTTTTAAAGGCTTTCTTTTTCTGTGCATGTTCTGCTTCAAGTGTCAACATTTCTAGTTACAATAATTTTACCGTAATATTGGAATTCTTGTAAGACTTTACTGGTAGAAGTGTATTACATCAACTTTTGTAACATACAAAAACACTGTATTATCAGAAGTCTTATTAAATAGAAAAGGGAACACGTGGGTATTTCAGAATTGTAGACCTGCTTATTATGTGTCTGTACTGATCACTGATAATAAATGCAGATGTTATCCGAGAGCATTTAAAATGAGTCAATCAGTGTTTTCAACATAGTAATACTTCTATGATTCAGAGTGAGATCATATAAATCAAAGCAACAATCTGGACTCTGTAAACAATAATGTAACTGTCACCAAAACAAATGGTCCAACCCTGGGAGCAGGTAACTTGGGCAGGTTGATGGAAAACAAGACGGAGGGAACAGCTGTTCTCAGTGCCCACTGAGCGGTGGTTTCGGCCCCCACACTCTCAGCCTCTGAAAGCAACAGGGGAGGAAAGAACTGTCTTGACCCCTGTGGCCGTGCAGACGCCTACCTCACAGAGTTGCAGAGAATCGACGGTTTGATTCAGACTTTGTGATTTAAGAATTTGTCAAACACCTACTCTTTTGAATAAAAGCAACATATCTAAAATTAAAAAGTAGCTTTCATCTTCCTGTTTCTTTGGTATTGTTTGCCTTGAAATTTGGAACTCCTGAAGTAGCATTCAGTATAATGGTTGCAGTGGTTTTCTTTTTCACTAATGGATATCCAGTGTCTCATCACACTTCTAATTAATTTTCCGTAGATGTTTTTAAATGTAAAAAGTGGAAACATTTTTGTTTTTGAGGAAAATTGCTTCCCTGGGTAACCTGTGTTAATCTGGACAAGAAGGGTGGAGATGAAATCAGAGAGTAGGCCTGTGCCCTGATTCCCCACCCGCGTTTCTTCTGAGTGTGTGTTCAATGACTGAAGTTGCATAGTCGATAACTGAAATGACCTTTTCTGAGTCGGTGCCCTCATGTCTGCATCAACATTCTTTCCCTTGTCTTTGTAACACTGAATGTACCCAGGCTCTCCTGTTTTGCTAAAGAGCACCCCAGGGACCTGGGACTGGGTCAGAATAGGAAAGGGCACTCAAAGTTTGAAGGCCCTAAGACTTGTCTCCCAGTATGCGGTACGGGCTGTTGACAATCACAGAGATATAAAGACAGTGATGAGATTTTGTTCTGTCAGAACCAGACCATTTTCCTGATGTAAGTATTTAAGCATTGAGCCCTGACTGCAAGCAATTTGCGATGTTACCAGTCACTGTCACCTTCATCCACCTGGATCCTCTGACTGGTCCCATACCCACACTGCTGCACAAGAGGAGTGAACACGTGGAGCATGTTTGGATAGTTTCCTTATTCTTTTTATCAGACTGGTGGCATACAGGGTAGGCCTTTTGAAGGGAACGTAATATGGGATGTAGGAGAGGGCTAAGGGCTAAAAATGTTTAAACTCATTGGTATCTAATATTTTAGATTTTAATTTGTTTAAAAACACAAAAACTTAAAAACTTTAAAAATACTTGATATTCTAATCAAAACAATCACTCTTCTAATTGGTCTTAGGAAAAAACCTGTGATTTTTGTCTACATGAAAACTAGTCTCGTTTCACTAATCCTAGAATATTAGAAATGTTAAGCACCCTTACAAATTGGCTGGTGTTCGTGTTTTCTCAGATGATAGCTATAGATAGCTCCTCAGAAAAATACACTTATACACACGTTTCTATACTTTCGATTCCTTTTCAGGGGATTCAAGATCTGAACATTTATGGATTCCAAATTAAGAATTCCTCATTTAGTCCTACAACCTTACTCCACAGATGAAGATAATGAGGCCCAGAGAGAATGAATGCTAAGGTATTTTTTAAAATAAAAATTTACAGAAAAAAAGCATAGTTGGATAGAAATTAAAATCTAAATTGTTAGATATCAATGAGTTTTAAAACATCTTTAGTCCTTAGCACTCTCCTATGTTAAAAAACAAGTGGCTTACTTTTCAGTTTATCAGGCAAGACAAAGTTTATTCTAGAATAATTGTAATAAAACTTCTCTTTTAATGTGAAGGCTTAATTTTTTTTCCTTAAAAAGTGTTGTAAATGAATTAGACTTTGAAAAACATCACTTTAAAAAATTGTTTTTTAATTACTGATTTGAGAGAGAAAGAGAGATGGTTTTGCTGTTCCACTTCCTTATGCATTCATTGGTTGATTCTTGTTATGTGCCCTGACTGGGGATGGAACCTGTAATCTTGGCAAATTGGGAAGATCCTCTCTAACAGAGCTACCCAAAGCTACCCAAAGCTACCCAGCCAGGGCCAAAAAACATCAAACTTCTAACTACACTTAACTCAGTTTACCCCGATTTATTGTCTTTCCCTCAAGTGAACATAACAAAACTAAGGCATATATTCATTTTTTATATTTATTGAAGGGGTCAAATGAGATCAATTGAGCATATAAACCTCTCATTCTCTTTTTAAAAAGGCAGTTTTGCATATCTTACGTGGCCCTTGTTTGCTTAATAAGCTGTTTTAGTAAGGTAGAACTCCAAACATAAATCAGTATAGGTCATGTGATTGTCATAAAGTGAACACAGTTTAACCATCACTTCAGTCAAAAGACACATTATCTTCATCCCCTAAGTCCTCTTTCTTTGCCTCTGTCCCCATAGTATATTTTGTCTCTGGCTTAATCAAGATCACGTAAAAACCATCCATAGAATATGGGTCATAGCTTATTTTGATTGCTATGTAGTATTCCATAATATGACTATACCACAGTTTATCCATCAACCATTAATGGGCATATGGATTCTTTGCATCAACATTTTCTACAAGTCATATGATCAGTGACCACTCTTTTAAAGAAATTGGCGCAATGACCCAGTGTCTTCAGCTTTACACCTGCCCTCCTTTAAGCCAGCAGACTCCATGCTAAAAGGCCTTGATAAATTAACCCAACAAAGGTAGCGGAGCGAAGCAAGGCGGGGTAGTCACACTCCACTCCCCAGACCTCTTCTACCCAGGCGTTCCTTTCTCCCTTCCGGAAGGCCAAAGGCCCGCCCACTTCAGTGACGCTAAGCCCGTGGCATCACACGCCGGGCCTCAGCCAATGGCTTGCTTCCCAGGGAACGTTACCTCTGACCTCAAGGCTAATCTGAGACAGCAGGGACGAACTCCTCGCGAGAGGTGAGATTGAAGCTCCCTCCGCCATCTTGGAGATGGGAGTCAGGGGATGGTTGTGGTCGTTCTGCTAAAGCAAACAACAAAACGGGCACATCTGTCACCCCCAAGTACGGCTATTATCACTGTAATTGTTGGCCAAACCTACAGAAGAAGCAAGGGTGTCAAAGCGGAGAGCAGCGACATTGATAACAGTTTCACCTGCCTGCTGGGGCGAAAGAAGTGAAACGACTGAGAACCGGAAGGATGGTGCAGTCCTGTTCCGCCTACGGCTGCAAAAACCGATATGATAAGGATAAGCCAGTTTCTTTCCACAAGTAAGTGCGGTTCGCGCCTCGCGAAGTCGGCCCCTGCTCGTGCAGGGGCGCGCAACCGGTTAGGCTCGGGGGCGGAGCCAGAGCTAGGCGCGTGTCCGCGCGAGACCTAGCGAGAGGGGTGTAGGCAGGGGCGGGGTGCGCCCGAGCGCTGCTGGGGTCTTGCTCTGGGTTGGGCGGTGGGCTAGTCCGCAGGTTGTCGGAACCCCAGGTTCGTTGCCGCGGGCTGCGCGTTCTTGGCGCTTGTAGACACCGCTATCCGGGACCGTTTCTTATGCGGGATTTCCGGCCGTGAGCTCGAGGCTCAGTCGCCGCATGGAGTTGGCTGATTCGGGGCGGGAGGGCCGGCGATGCCAGAAGGCCCCGCAGGTCCTGAGATCTCCAGGCCAAGAGCCATTTGGGTTTCACCATCAGGTCAAGGAGAAGCCAAGTGGTGATAACTCTTTAGAAGTAAATTTGAAATTAAAAGAAGTCACTCTTTTTCGTCCTTGCGGTGGTTGGGAGGCCAACATCATTAAGGACTGGTTTTTGGCCAGGATTTCAGGGAGGATGTGTATGGGCGAGTTTCTAGGAACCAACCTTTAAGGACCTCTTAAGTTTGAGGCAGTTTGTGGTACTGCTAAGATTAATAGTTTATGTTTGCAGTACACGATGATGATAACATGGAAAATAATACTACGGACCATGATCAAGTGCCATAATAAAGGTCAATATGAGCTATTACTGGTGCATAAACGAAGCCCTTGGGAAAGAACCTGCCCCACATCTTTCAGGACTGTTTTATCCAAAAGGTGCTGCAGTCAGTCTTAGAGGAAAAATGTTCTCTGGAAAAGAAAACCTTAGAATGGAAGTGACTCAATGATAATCAAATGTCTGCAAAATGTGACACGATGGCAATTTTATTCAGCCAAATTCAGTACAGTATTTGCAGATTTTATTACATTTACGTTGATTTTTTTGCAAGAATTCCCGACTATAAACGATAGGTAAGAAATTAAACTAGAACCAGTGGTAAGTTATATGAATTCTTCATAGCTAAATAATTACACAAGCAAAATATTTTTTTCAATTTTTTGTGGGGGTCATTTATGTTTAACAACAGATGTGGGTGCATTTTTATATTCTTGGTATAGTACGAGAAGGACCGTAGAGAAATAAGAGTGTCTAATGCATAGGGAGATCTTGAGTGTTGATATTTCCCTCTTCAGAGAAGGGAATAGGACACTTAACACTTCCAGAATTCAGTTCAGTATACCTTAACATTACTTCTTGATTTATTGGAATTTCTGAAAGCTGATGAATTGATCTCTCCAGCATGGGGAATCGGTCACGAGATGGTGGGTGACACCATCACACTCATTCAGTTTTCTGCCTCCCCATTCTAATGATAGGGCAGAAGGAATCTAAAAATGTGAGGTAGTTTCCCTACCCTTCATTGGTAGGGCATTCACACATCAGAAATAGTGAGTTTCTGCTGGCTGTTAAACAATTGAATGGAAAGAAGGACTGACCTTCTACATCTCATCCTTTATCTAGAAGAACAGCTTTGGAAGAGGAGATGAGAAAGAGCTTGACAGAACCTCGCAGACATCCTGAGCACTCATAGTCCTCGAGTCATGAAGCCCTAGGTCCTGGATTTTACCAGGGATTGCTACTGTAGTTTGTACTTACAGAAGCCATTTTTGCATTTCTGGCAGGGATCTTCTAAGAGTGTTTCTTTCCCCAGTTTCTATGTAGTGGTAGTGGGAAGAGTAGACAAAGGGACTGTCGTAAACATCTCTTAGACCGTCAGGATAATGGCGGAGCCAGGCTCTGGCATACTTTGGAAGAGAGACTGGACCATACAGTAGAAACATCCTTCTTTGGCTTCTTTCCAATCCCCCCAACTTAATAAATCTCTGACCTGGAAAAATAAAATCACAGCAAATTTAAATTATTCCTACCTCCCTTTATCTGGTCCTAACAAACATTTCAATAGATTAAGAGGTAAATTAAACATTTTAAATTTGTCATTGCAATTCAACTGAAATTTAATTGTCATGTTTGTTAGTTTCTGATTCTAAGACAACCAGAAGCTTCTTTTTCTCAGCATGTAGATATAAACATGCAATTTTGTTTTACAATGTGCAGAAGTCACTGGTAAAATAATACAAATTCACCCTACAGTATGTATTTTACTTGAAATTTTAGTGTCTTCAATATAAAAAGTTAAACCATAATAAATTAGAGAAGTAAGAGAGCCACATGATTTATTCTTGTGTATTTAGATGTGCATGGAATACCTGTATCTGTCTGTGAAAGTTATTTACGGTAATGGAGGAGGGGAGAAAGGGAGAAACAGTATCAGGCACATGGGCCCTCCACCCCCAACCTTTCTTTACCTACTCTTCCCACTGCACACATGCCATCCGCCAACGTGGCTTTTATTTTTAGAGAGGGAGGGGAGGGAGATAGAGAGAGAAACATCAATGTGCAGTTGCTGGGGGTCATAGCCTGCAACCCAGGCATGTGCCCTGACTGGGAATTGAACCTGCGACACTTTGGTTCGCAGCCTGTGCTCAATCCACTGAGCTATGCCAGCCAGGGCACATCCTGTAAATTCTTAATTGGCTTGTCTTATTTAGATTGTATATATCATTGTATCCAACATTCCTATAACTACCGTATATAATCAGTTAAGATTTCTATAAGAAATACTTTTTTTTCCTTTAAAGATTGTATTTATTTATTTTTTAGAGAGAGAGGAGAGGGAGGAAAACATAGATTGGTTGCCTTTCGTATGCCCCAACTGGGAACTGGCCCGCAACCCAGGGTTTGTGTCTGACTGGAATCAAACCGTCAACCTTTTGGTTTGCAGGCCAGTGCTCAATCCACTGAGCCACAGCAGCCAGGGCTAGTCATAGGATCTTTTAAACAAGTCCATTTAAAGGCACAACTAATTAAAAAAAAAAAAAAAAGCAGAACTAGTGTGTTGATTACTCCTCAGTGTGTTACCACCAATGTAAGATAGTTCTTTCGTAAGCAGGAAAGTTTGGATGTGCCTTATAATAAAAAATAAGGTAATAGAAGTGAATTATGTCATCTTTAGGTTTCCTCTTACTCGACCCAGTCTTTGTAAGGAATGGGAGGCTGCTGTCAGAAGAAAAAACTTTAAGCCGACCAAGTATAGCAGTATTTGTTCGGAACACTTTACTCCAGATTGCTTTAAGAGGGAGTGCAACAACAAGTTACTGAAAGAGAATGCTGTACCCACAATATTTCTTTGTACTGAACCTCATGACAAGGTAATATCTGTTTTTCAATATTGGCTTTCCCCCCTATTTTTAAAAGTAATGTGTTTATTGTGGAAATTTGGAAAATTCAGAGTCATGTTAAGAAAACAAATGTTACTTTGAAACCTAACACCTCTTGTAAATAACCACTGTTAACAGTGATATTCTTTTAAAAAATACAAAATACAGTTTATAAAAGTTAAATATCCTCACACTAAGAAACTCAGTTAAGCTTTGTAATTTACTTTTAAGATCATGCCACACACCTACTTGTATGTTGACCAGTTTTTGTTTTTCTACATCAGTGACAGTTCAGTTTCAAAGTATTTTTCTCCTCAGTTTTAAATACTGCTTAGCAGTTCATTAAATTTTACCATTCTACCTCTTTCTTGTGTTCCATTTCTACTTCTGGTAGAAAAGTATAATTAAAACTTAAACTCTTTTCTCATTCATTTTGGAATATTTCTTTACCAAGATTCATATAAAAAATCTAATTTTCTTAAATTCCATAGATAAATTTTTCAAATTGTTATTTCTAGTTACTAAACTCAAACATACTCTGCATTCTTGTTTTAGAAGGAAGATCTTCTGGAGCCACAAGAACAGCTTCCCCCATCTCCTTTAACACCCCCCATTTCCCAGGTCGATGCTGCTATTGGATTACTGATGCCTCCTCTTCAGACCCCTGACAATCTCTCGGTTTTCTGTGATCACAACTACACTGTGGAGGATACAATGCACCAGAGAAAAAGGATTCATCAGCTAGAACAGCAAGTTGAAAAACTCAGAAAGAAGCTCAAGACTACACAGCAGCGATGCAGAAGACAAGAACGACAGCTTGAAAAATTAAAGGAGGTTGTACACTTCCAGAAGGAGAAAGACATAACAGAGAGAGGTTATGTGATTCTGCCAGATAACTATTTTGAAATAGTTGAAGTACCAGCATAGAAAAAAGGAATTTGTATTGGTTTTTAATGGGGCAATACCACACACCCTCTTCTAGCCTATAAAGGAGTTTCATCTGAAAAAATAACACTTGATTACTTGTATAAAAACAATTCAGAATATTTTTAAAAAAATAAATTAGATATATACTGTAAAATTGTTAATGTTTTTGTTTGTAATTTCAGGGTTTTTACATTTTAACAAAATATTTTAAAAGTTATAAAGTAGCCTCAGAGCACCAGTGTAAGTTGGTTTCAAGACTGAGGGTTTTTGTTTTCTAATTTGAGTATTTATAGAAATAATGTAAAAATAAAAAGGAAGGAGAATGAGAACAGTACAGTAAGGATGATTTAAGTTTAAAATTTAAAATTAGTTTATTGAGAGAACTAAGTTATATTTTAAATCAGAAGTATGGGTTAGATCAAACTTCTCAGAATATATATAACCTTATTCGCACATTCTTATTTGTAAAGTCAGATTCATTTATCTTAATCACTTGTCAAAGGTAATGTGGCAAGTCAACCCTTTAAAAAAGGATATGTTCAGAGCAGAAACTGTAGTCATTTCATACCTAATTAATATGATTAAATAACTATATAATGAATGGAGTTTTAAAAAGTGGGCTCCTCTTTTTCCTCCCACCGTAACAAAGTAGGCATTGTTATCCATGAAGTAATAAAAATGAGGGCCTCATCTGTGGTATGCTTTTTTCTCTCATTACCCCTAAGTTCCCCACCTGAAGTTATTTTTGCATCCAAGTCTCTAACGAACATGTTGTGTCAATAGAGTTTGATTTGTATCATGATATGGTAATCTTGAACCTGACTAATTGATTTTGGTCAAGGCTTCACATAAAAATGTTTTTCTTCACTTTAAAAAAAATTTTTTTTATCCTCACCTGAGGACATTTTTTCCCCCTTGCCTTTGGAGAGAGAGAAGAAGAGAGGGAGAGAAACATCAGTTGGTTGCCTCACGTGCGCCCAGACCGGGGATCTTAACACACCCAGGATGGGGACCGGACCCACAACCTTTCAGTTACGGGACGATGCTCCAACAGACTGAGCCACATTAGCCAGGGCAATTTCTTTACTTTTAACACAAATTAGATATTAAATCCCATTTTATTTAAATGAGTGATTTGTATTCAGAAGCAGCCTAATATGTACTGTTTATTTTCCTGAATGTTAAGATTTAAACACTGAGGTTTCTGTTCAAACTGTGAATTATATTCTGACTTTGTGATAAATTTTACATATATTTGAATGAAATGTGTTCTGAGTAAACAAATACTGCCATAGTACGTACTTACTTAGATTTAGAGTAACTATTTCAACTGTAATTATTTTATATCTCAAAGTATGCTAAGGTAGTTGAGTAATAAACCTTTTAAGGCAGTATTAAAGGTGTAAAACAATGATGTTCAGAAGTGTCTTTTGTAGACCTGCTTTTCAGTGTAATTTACTGCCATGCTGTGACTGGATAGTACTTTGATTTATGGAGATTTGATTTTCGATGAACCAGTATTTCAAAAATAGAAAATTTTGATTAGAAGATTACTAGACGCTATGTAGAACTCACTCTAATGAATCAAAGGACTTTTTCCAGTTATTCATGGATCTCATCGCGGTTTCTGGAAGTTGCAAACTCTCCAAGTAGTTTGTTTTTACATTTCATCTCTGTAGCAGTTTGTGGAAGGTATGTGGGTAATATTTTGCCAAAGCAGATATTTATCTAACTTGTTACCTACACAAAGGAAAATCTGTGTGTGTGCGCACGTGCGTGTGCATCCCCAGAACCAGCACTCCAACAATTGACCTGTAAAAGTGGTAATAATAATTACTTTTAGCATCTTAGCATTATGATTCAACCTGAAGCTACTTCCTTTTCATAATAGACGTAAATCCATGTTTGGAGAGAACTGAGCAAGAACACATATACCAACTGTTTGCATATAAACAAGTTATCATAGTTTAACATAGGAATTTTTAGGTTCAAGTGCTTGTTTCTGAATTTGAGATGTAACATTTGAATGTTTTTATAATTCATTTTGTCTATTGTACTACTTATGACATTGTCAAGAAAAGGAGACGTTTTGGCTACAGTAGGTCATGTTCAAGCATAATGAAACTCATTCAGAAAAAGGGACAAGGTCTCAATCTGAAACAAATCAGGAGAGGATCCGTATGAAATGCAGCATATTCTGAACATTTGTTTTAAACATATATAGTAACGTATAAAATTTTCACCTATGTGTGACATAATCTGTCACTAATAGTGAGAAGAAGTATTGTTTATTAATTGAACTGCTAGGAAAACTATAGAATCAAAGAATTTTAGAATTAGAAGGAACTTAGAAATCATTGAACACCAGCCCAACTGCTAACCCTGAAGAAATTTCCTTGTAAAGTATCTCTGACAGTGGTCACCTGAACTCTGCCATCTACACGTAAGCAGTTCTGCTCAGATTCTTTAAAATGGGTTTCTGGGTTAGAATGGAATTAGTTGCCACCGTTTATACTTGTTTATAATATAAACATAAACTTACTTTGAACTGCTGCATAGTTTGTCAAATTCCAAATTACAGAAATGTTAAATTTTTGTAAAATAATTTAAATGTTTACTAATTGTATACCTGTTATGTGTGCTAAAAATATCTCTGTCATTGCAGTAAAGAAATAGTGGTGTCTAAAATTATTAGCAAAACTTTTTACTTGGAAACCTAAGTACACGAGATTGTGTTCCTTTAACAGTAATGTGTAGTCCCTTTCTTAGAAGTACAACAATAATGGTGAAGGCAAATGAAAATTTCCCTTGGCATGGATTTTTTTAGGTTAAATTAATGTTCTCTGATCATTATCAAAACAGTTATATACACATGCACATACCTAACACCTATGACTTTTATAAATAGTAAGCAACATAAAATAATGTATTTAAAAGTCCACATGATCTGTAAAAAGAAAACTCCATTTGTGTTCCAGAATTTTTAAAAGGCAGCCGGCCATGAGTAGCGTTTAAAGGAGAAAAAGGGAACAGATTTGGTTGGTTATCATTTTTGCTAATGTTGGGGAGTGAGTTGGATGACCAGTGAATGAAGAGCATTGATTTTGTCTGGGGTAATTCGTGTTTCTGGGCATTATGGTTTAATACAGTTGTGTATTAAAATACATTCCTTGATGTGAAAGAAAAATATCAAAGAGCAAACTGATTTTTGCAGACAAAAGCAATTACGATTGCTGAGCTTCACAGGGAAGTTAGCTCAAAGTAATATTCTCTCACGTTCCATGTCTTGATTATCTTTTTTGCCTTGGGTGTGGTTTTATTCTAGTGAGATTTTTTTCTTAGTGATAAATATTTTTCAACACAAAATTTGTTGACAATTTTTATTTTTTAAATATCCTAAAGTAGATGAGTAAACTCTTAATTTTTAACGATTTTTGGTGCGAGAAATTACAATATTAATAACTAAGTTCTGGAATGTCTGCATGAGGACCTCCCACCTGCTCCCCTCCGTAACTACCATAACTGGTAAAAATAAATTTTAAACCATTTAAAGTCTGCAGATTGCCCTAAAGGCACTAAACATGAAAATTTTTCCTGAATGCAAGAAAACCTAAATCTCCACGAACCTGAAAAGTTGATGGCACTTAACGCCACAACCTATTCTCCCTTCCCCACGCTGCGCCACAACTCGTGCACAACTCAGGGCCGCAGTAGTTCCATTCTTGAGAGTACAGCCAAGCAGACAATGCTCCCTCTCTTCCCAACAACTATCCAAGGACTAGAGTGGCTCTCAGGGAGGGATGGGCTGCTGGTATTTCTCAGGGCCCTCTAGCTTTGTGTTGCACAGGCTGAGCTCCAGGTAAGTGCAAGCCAAGAGGTCAGGACTCCCTCTTCCCAACCAGCTCCCTCTCTTAGGATGGAGGGTCTCCTCCAGATACAGCTGGCCAAGAACACCAGCACCCTGATCACCTCTCTTGATGCTTGTTTATAGGGTAAACTTTCCATGCCAACAGAGCCAGCCCAGGAAGATTGGTGGCTTCTATCCTGACAGCTCTACTCATACAGGTGACCTAGAGAGGCAGGCCAGGGTCCTCGGCACCAGCACCACAAGGGTGACGGGGGAGGCAGCAGCCCATGCGAACCAAGAGCTCTGAAGCTCTTCCCAAAGGGATGGATTTGGAAGAGCCGGGAAGTTCGAGCCTGTCCCTGTAACTGTGGTGGTGTTCTGAAGACCTTGGTTCTTGTCCTCTCAAAAGATTTCAGACCAGAGACACAAATGGCAAAGCAGACAATGGTTTGCTGGCAAAAGGAAAGTGCACTCAGAAGATTTCCAAGTGGGCGAGACAGAACAAACCTATTGCCCCACTGGGCTGCAAACAGGGTTTTTATGCTTGCTTGAACTCCCCGCTCACCTCCTGGTCCCCCTAACACCGCCCCACACTCCTGCTGGTTTGTTCCTGCCCACAGCGTGCACAGATCTCTGCCAGTAGTGGGCAGTCCTACGTCTGCCCTGTTCATGTGTGAGGCCATGCATGCATGCCCCTCACAGGGATGTTAAGGGTGTGTAACTGCCCTAGACAGTATCAGGAGCAGTGGACCATTTGGTTTTCAGCTGATCATTAAGATCGGTATTTCCTCTCCCCATTGGTCCCCTCAGTTATGTTTAGGGTTGATATTTTCCTTTTCCTATCTGTCCCCTACGGCAACTGGTGTCTAGCTGGCCTACCTATTCCAACAAGCCTACGAGTCCTCTCAAGAGCGATGGAGAATTTAGTGGTAAGCAGTTAAGAGGAGGCTGGTAGCTCCCCTAAAGCAACAAGCTAAATTAACCGTAGGCTAGTTAATTTATTAGAGAACCAGGGGAAGAGGTAAGAAAAGCCCTCCTGCAGTCATAATACATAAGAATCTCCTACTAACTCCCCAAAAGGGCCCAAGTCTAATTGGATGACTCTGCAGAGCAATTTTTGCCCCAGGGCATCATTAAAAACAGCAATCAACTGGCAATTGGAGCTAACATCTGGGTGTGATACCAATAAAGGCATATAGTTTAATGGAGAAATCAGGAAAATGTGCAAAGAAAGGGTTGTTAAAACCTCACTCTGGGTGACTGTGCATGTCCAAAGCTGTACCTTCTAAGGTGTGAAATCAGAGAAAAAGTTTTCCCACGCAAAATGAAGTCAAAAGGCTGTGGGCTGATGTATTCAAAGTGTCAAAAGGAGGAAAAAAAAAAAACCACCTGTAAACCAAGAATCCAATATCTGGCAAAACTGCCCTTTGCAAGAGACAGAGTGATGTGGGCCCCGGCTGGCAGGGTCCACGTGTTGTGGCTGTGAGAGACAAATTCACATGGACTACAGAAGTCCTGTGGAGAAAAGGGACACCATGGCCGCTCTCTAAGAGAGAGAGGGCCCTGACCCTTGCCTGGACAGGCTTTTATTGCTTTTCTGGGTACATTACATTGAGGATGGTCCTTATTTACTATGCACAGGTTCGGTGTAGGTGATTGCCTTTTACAGATAACGGAAAAAATGTGGCTAATTACTTCAAAGAGAAGGATGATGCAGTTGCAAGGGGAGAAGTGGTTGAGCTGGTTATACTCCATACTTTGGAGGTTTGGCACAGACTTTAGGACATTACTTTAGAGATATGCAGTAAACATTTGCTGCCTCAATACAGGGGTGAGGGAGTTGTAGCAAAGGCAAGTCTCATAGCAGCCTAGGTACAATGCAGGCCTGGTTCTCCACAGGAGAACCTATCCGTGGGTGTGGGTCCTGTGAGCCAGACCTTGCTCCCCACTGGCCTTTCCAAGTGGGGGCTGGGCTACATTTCCCACGACAGGTGGAACGGTCCCCTATAACAGAGAAATTATAGCATTCCCAGACAAGCAAAAGCTTGGGGAATTCATGACCACTAGATGTGCCCTGCAGGCAATGATAAAGGGAGCCCTGCAGGTTGCAATAAGAGGAAACACTGACTTGAAGCAATGTGGTAACGAGTCAGAGTATAACAACTTTAGGGTGTAAAATTTAATCCCCGTGGTAATGACAAAACAGTATAGAATATACACAAAAAGAAAAGAGAAGGGAATGAAATGTTTTGCTATAAAAATCAATGAAACACAAGAGAAGACAATAGAGCAGAATTAGAGTGAAGCCCGTCTTTCAGTGGATTCAGTGCGGGAAATGGACAAAAATACTATAAAACATTGAGATCAAATAACTAGATGATAAAAATAAGTCCCTCTGTATCAGTAATTATATGTAAATGGATAACTCTAATCAAAAGACAGAGACTGGAACAACGGATTTAAAAAAGAACAAAAACTTGATCTAACTATCTTCTGTCTCTAAGAGACTCACTTCAGATCCAAAAATACAAATAGATTAAAAGTGAAAGGACGGAAAAAGGTATTCCATGAAAAAAAAACCAAAAGAGAGCAGCAGTGAATATAGTAATATCAGACAAAGTAGGCTTTAAATCAAAATGTTGACAAGAGACAAAGAACATTTTATGTTAATAAAAGTTTCAATACAGCATAAGATTGTGCCATTCAGGAACATGTATGAGATTGTGGCCATTTAATTTGGAGGTTTGGCTTTGCAGACAATAAAAACCACAAGTCAAAAGTGAATAGTTAAGCACTTTATTAAGCGAGAGCAAAGAGAAAGCAAGAATTAAGAGCATACATCACAGGCAGGAGTTCACCAACACCTGATCCTAGACACCGAGGAATCCCAGAGACAGCATTCGGGGCCAACTGGGAAAAGTTCTGAGCAAAGCGTCCTTCCCTCGGGTGAGATCCCAAAGTCTTACTTTGGGGCTATGTTTAAATAGTTTTTAAACAAAGGTGGCTATGCACCAAGGGCCTTACATGACTTAGTCAACAAGTCCTTCTAGGAGAGTGGCCGTTCCCCCCAAAGGAGCAGTTAAACATTAAGAGTACTAGTCTCCCAAGGAGAAGGGCCCTTTCTCCCCAGGAGACAGCACATCGACATTCTTGTTCTTACAATGAAGGTCACAGCTTGGGCATAAACAGGTAGGATACTTAATGTTCCTTTAACCCATCAAAGATATAACATTTATAAACATTTATGCAACTAATAACAGACCATCAAAAACATAAAGCAAACATGACAGAATTGAAGAGAGAAATAGTTCTGCAAAAATGAAGGCAAAGTAAAAATATACTTAAATAAACAAAAACTTAGGGAATCTGTTGCTAAATAACTCCTCTTAAAATAAGTACTAAAGAAAGGTGAAAGCAAGTGACACCCTGTAATAATCTGAATAAAAAATGCAAAGATTGCCAGGAAAGTTAATTGTGTAGGTAATTATGAAGACAGTATAACTGCATTTTTTCCTCTTAACTGACTTAAAAAGCAATGACCTAAAACTGTGTATTATTGTGTTGGGCCTGTAACAGACAGAAATGTAGTCTATTTGACAATAACAATTGGGTGGGAAGAAAGCTGAGCTGCAGTAAGTAAATAGCACCAGATGGTAACTTGAGTCCGTAAGGAGAAATGCAGACTCAAAAGGAAGGAAATTCTGACATTTGCTACCACATGGATGAACCTGGAGGGCTTCAATTTACATGAGGTACTTTAGTCAAAACCACACAGACAGAAAGTAGAACAGTGGCTTCCAAGGGCTATGGAGAGGGGGGTACAGGGGGTTATTGTTTAATAGGTGTAGAGTTTCAGATCCACGAGATGAACAGATTTATGGGGATGGATGATGGTGGTGGTTGCACAAGGTGAATATATTTATTACCACCCAACTGTACACTTACAAATGTTTAAGATGGCAAATTTTATGTTATGTGTATTTTATAATGATTTTTAAGAAAAGCGATGTGGGCCCTGACCTGTGTGGCTCTGGTGAGTGGGTGTCGTTCTGCAAGCAAAAGGCTGCCGGTTCAGTTCCCTGTCAGGGCACGTGTCTAGGTTGCAGGTTCACTTCCTGGTTGGGGCACGTACGGGAGGCAACTGATTAATGTTTCTCTCTCACACTGATGCTTCTCTCCCTTTCTTCCCTTGTGCCTAAAAATAAATAAAATCTTCAAGGAAAAAAAGTGATGTGGGATTATTGAAGCTCAGGCTGACGAAACAATTCATACAGCTGTAATTTTTTAGGTAGAGTCGCTATGACTTTCTGTCTTGGTAGTGTGGCCTAATGTAGTAGGTGCCCTATTGGGTCCAGTGGCACAGCCTTCCCTATCACCCAGTCTGGGTACTCATGGTGTGCCCTCTGTGTGGGCTCAGTACACATAGTTGAGTGTTAACTGTTGTTGGTGGCAAGCCAGTCAGCTGCAAGGACTGTCTGTGACCACTGACCACCAACCTCTGCCTTCCATAGAGGATCAG